TCTCAAGGGACAGAAGCTCTGAGGAGCTGAATGATGTCCTTGACAGTGTGCCTGCATAGGCCCAGCAACCATTCCCTTTTGGGCACTTTTAAAATGACCTTCCACGGAGGCAAAGGCACAGGCTGAAGAGCCTCTGGCAAAGGAGATTCTAGAAGGGGCCTAAACAAATGTCCCCAGGACATTGCTGTCTGTTCTGGCTTGGGCAGAATGTAAAATGCAGAGTCACTAGGTATTTGGTGGGGGCTGCTGTGATGAGGCCTCCCTAGGGGCTCGTGCTCTGGGGGCACCAACAGGAAACAGCAATACGTAGGGGAGATCATTTCAGGCCTTGCTATTGAGAAAGGTCACATGGACAATGTGATGGCGAGTGACAAGGACTGCTGTTCTAGCCAGGGCATCAGGGACGGCCTTGCTCGGAAGGTGAGGGTGAAGCTGAACCTTAAATGTTCAGAGGCTGGAGGCCCAGGGCCCAGGGTGTCCAGAGTGTGTGTGAATGGACAGATGGCCAGTAGAAGCTTGGCTCGCAGCCCGGGCCTGGGACAGCTGGGGGTCAGACTCAGGGCAGGGCGCAGGGGAGGTGGGCTGTGGGCCAGGGCCCTCCACCCCGTCACGGAGAGTTCCTCACAATGACCTGGGAGGAATCTGAGCAGCAGCTGCAGAAAGGGGCCCACCCACCCATGGGCCAGGGCCTTAGTCAGGGGAACACCCAGCCCCTCACCCTCCTGCCTGCGCTGATCTCTGCCCAGACAAGTGTGCAACGTTCAGGAGTCTGCCCCCACCAGACGACAGAGAGGCTCTGTTTGGAGGCAGGAACATGTCATGCCTTCCTCCCTCAGATGAGGAGTAGGGGGCTTCTTGCTAGGCCCCCCAAACCCCACAGAATATGGCCCCTGCCCCTCTCCTGCTGCTCCCTGCCCCAGCCACATCTGCAAACTTAAGTTGATTGAACATGCTGGGTTCTTTCCTGCCTCTGGGGGCTCATCTATGCTGTTCCCCTTTCAGGAAATGCTCTTCCTTGCTTTTCACAAGGCTGGTTCATTCTCACCATTTGGGCTCAGCTTACAGGGCTCCCTCTCAGAGAGGTCCTTCCTCAGCCCATAGGCTCAGCAGGTGGACTCCTCCCTGCTAATCTCTGCCATCTCACCTTGCTTGTTTGTTTTTCATAATTTGTGATTATACGTTTATGTTCGTGCATTTGGTACCATCTGCCTCGCTAGACGACGCATGAGCTTCGTGAACTCAGGCAGCATGTCTGCTGTGTTCCCGGCTGTGTTTCAAAGGCGGCCTGGCGTGGCGTAGCAGAAAGAATACGAGTGCAGGCCGGGCACAGTGGTTCTCGCCTGTAATCCCAGCACTTTGGGAGGCCTGGAATTCAAGACCAGCCTGAGCAACATAGCGAGTCCTCGTCTCTATAACAAATTCAAAAATTATCGAGGCGGCCGGGCGCGGTGGCTCACGCCTGTAATCCTAGCACTCTGGGAGGCCGAGGCGGGCGGATTGCTCCAGCTCAGGAGTTCGAAACCAGCCTGAAGCAGAGCGAGACCTGTCTCTACTATAAATACGAAAGAAATTTGAGAAACTTGTCATTGGTATACAAAAAGAAAAGAAAGAATTAATTGGCTAACTAATATATATAGAAAAATTAGCCGGGCATGTGGTGCATGCTATAGTCCAGCTACTCGGGGGGGGGGGGGGGGGCTGAGGCAGCAGGATCACTTGAGCCCAGGAGTTTGAGGTTGCTGTGAGCTAGGCTGATGCCACGGCACTCACTCTAGCCTGGGCAACAAAGTGAGATTCGGTCTCAAAAAAAAAAATTATCCAGGCATGGTGCTGTGCACCTGTAGTCCTACCTACGAGGGAAGCTGAGGCAGAGAATTGCTTGAGCCCACAAATTGGAGGCTGCAGTGAGCTATGATTGAGCCACTGCACTCTAGCCTGGGGGACAGAGCAAAACCTCTGTCTTAAAAAACAAGAAAAAAAAAATATGAGTGTAATGAAGTTGGAACTCCTGCGTTTTAATACCAGCTCCATCAACAGCTATGTGATGCTGGGCAAGTTTCTTAACCTCTCTGTGCCTGAGCCACCTCAGGTTCTGTTGAATAGCACCAGCACCAAAATAGAGTTATTTTATTTTTTTTTGAGACAGAGTCTCACTTTGTTGCCCAGGCTAGAGTGAGTGCCGTGGCATCAGCCTAGCTCACAGCAACCTCAAACTCCTGGGTTCAAGCGATCCTCCAGCCTCAGTCTCCCAAGTAACTGGGACTACAGGCATGCACCACCATGCCTGGCTAATTTTTTCCATATATTTTTTTAGCTGTCCAATTAATTTCTTTCTATTTTTAGTAGAGACGGGGTCTCACTCTTGCTCAGGCTGGCCTCGAACTCCTGAGTTCAAAGTATCCACCTGCCTCGGCCTCCCAGAGTGTTAGGATTACAGGCGTGAGCCACGGCGCCCAGCCAGCACCTAGAGTTCTATGTACCTTAAAGGGATGGAGATGCTGTGGTCCGGGTGGTGGTCCGGGCCCACCGTGGTTGGTGGGCTTCCGGTCAATAGTAGGACTGGGGGCCGCTGGGCTCGAATCCATCTCTTCAGCTTCTCCAAGCCTAGGAGGCTTTCGAGGAGATGTACTTTTGAATTCTCAGCTTTTCACAAAAATAGCCTCCGCAGCAGCGGAGCCCCTGGTTTCAAGCAGACAATTTCTTTGTTACTCAGCTGCTGGTGGGTGGGTGGGTGGCGCCGCAGGCTGCTCTTTTCCTCAATGAACAGCTGTGCCCAGTAATCACTGCACTACTCGAGCCGCTGTCATTCACTGCTCCTGGCTGCCTGGCAGCCCTGGGCACGAGTCCCCGGCCTGCCCGGAGGCTGGGGGCCGAGAGCGGGACTGGACGTGAAGGCAGGGTCAGGGCCTCAGCCATGGCAGTCAGGCCTCGGCTTTGTCAGAGCTGGCCTCAGGGACCCTGTGCCCCACCACCTCCCTCGCCTGGCTGCCACCTCCCTTGTTCCTCTGCCACACCAGGCCACGCCCACCTGAGGACACCTCCCCTCCAGGCGTCTTCTCTTCTTGTCACCTGGAGCTCAGAGAAGTTCTCCTGGCCACTCCCCCTCAGCTGGCCCATCAGCTTGTCATCCAGCACTGGGCCACCAACTCAGGGGCCACAGGGAGAAGAGCTGGCCTGGCCACGAACATTCCAGCCCCGATATTGGTTCTGGGCGGCCAGGCCTGCACAAGGGCCTGCGGACCAAGGGTGGAGAGAGCAGGGAGGCACATCCCAGCAGACAGGCTCCCAAGAGGTGGGCAGAGAAAACTGCAGGTGTCCACCATGGCCCCAGCCTTCTCCTGGAAGGGCAGGGTGGTGAGTTTGCAAAACGTGGGTGGAGACCGGTCTTGGGCCCCTGCTCAGTCACTATCACTTCCTGGTGACTCGTGAAGGCCCAGGGTCTCCCTGAGCCAGTTCTAAGAAGCAGGTGAGGTGATGCTCACATGGGCACTCTGAGAACCATTATTTTTGGAGGAGAGGAAGGCAAAGGAGGAAGAGGAGAACTTGGGGAGGGAGGGTCGGTCCCCTGGGCAGAGTCCGCAGACATCAGGACTGTGGTAACAACAGGCAGCATTCATCACCAGACCCTCTCGTAATCAGGAACCTGAACTGAGCCTGACTGTTCTGGGAGGTTCTGGAAGGTTCTGGAAGGCAGGGATATGTGGTGGCATTGGGTAGCCCTGGGTTCAAATGCCCCTCTATCCAGCTGAGCAAACGTGGCAAGTCCCTCCTCTTATCTGAGCCCCTATTTCCCTAACAGTAAAACAGGGATGACAAAAATAAATGAGTGAGTTGTTGGGAGGTTTAAATGAGGGCAAAGCATGTTGCCTGGCGCACAGGAAGCTTTCAACGCATCTCAGCTATTTTTATTAGCTTTTCGTGTTTCTCTTGATTGTTTCCCTTTTAACTACCACCTCCTTTTTATTTTAATAAGACTTCTTTTGAAAATGCCGGGCCTGCATCAGCGGTTCTGGGCGACGCCAGGGAAAGACTTGCTTCTTTCCAAGCGGGGGGCTGAGAAGGGGAGGGGGTGGGTCGGAGGGAGAGAAGCCCCTTCGTGGAGGTCACTGACAGCCGGGCTCTGGGCTTATAGTACCATACTGGAACCTCCACCATCCCTCTCAGTGGAGGAGCAGAGTCACAGTGGACTGGCCCAGCGTCACACAGCTTGAAAGTTGTGGAGCACTTCAAACCCAGGGCTGTCTGATGTGGAAACTCAGCTCTCTCTGGAGCAGGTGGCTGTTCCACTGGGCACCCTGGTCGTCGTGGGTCCTCTCTGCTCAGAGCCTGGCAGGCTGTGCGTGCTTGCGTGCGTGCGTGCGTGCGTGCGTGTGTGTGTGTGTGTGTGTGTGTGTGTGTGTGTGGTTTAGCAAGCCTATCACTCCCTTAGGGTCCTCTTCTATCCAAATTCAGTAGAAACATCTCCAGGGCCTACTGTGTGCCGGACAGAGGCGAGTTCCTGTGACTTGCCCACTGTCCTCACTCTGGGTCTCAGAGCCAGGGCAGGAGAGGGACCTGAGCATGGTGTCTGTGCCAAGGGCCGGCAGGGCCACTCTGGGTGTCCAGAGCGGAGAGGAACGTCTGGGGGCCCTGGGGCCGGGCTGGCCTTAAGCACTCACAGGAGGCTGCCTCTCTGCTCAGGTCTCCATTGTCCCTGCCCGCCCGTGGGACCCCCACTCCCAGGCTCACACACCCTCCCATCACTCACCGCCTGCTTGCCCTCTAATTGCCAGGAATGCAGCCGCGCTGTCCCCAGCGCCTCCTCCCTGCGTTACTCAGCAGCGACCCTGACTCGGCAGGGCAAATTATACCTCGGCCCAGCAATAAAAGCCACTTTCCAAAAAAAGAAGCTTTAGGGCCCTGGGAGACACACACAGCTAAGTCTCTCACCTGGCGGTGCCTGGCTCCCGGGGTCCTGTCTGGGCCAGAGGAGCCCGGTGTCCCTTTAAGCAGGGAGTACAAATTCCCATCCCAGTCCCTCCCTCCCGCTCTCCCTGACGTCAGCTGGAAGGCGTGTGTGAGTGAGTGAGGGGCCGAGGTGCCGCCGCACACACGACACACACTCACACGCGGCGCGTCCTCCAGCCCCGGCCCGGCCCGCAGCTCGCGCCGGAGGGGCAGGGCGCTGACACCGCAGGAGGCAGTGCCTGGACCCGGAGAGGTGAGGGGCTGGATGGGGCCCGAGGGCACCTCGTGGGAAACTGTGGCTTTGCAGGGGCGAACGGGGGAGGGGCAGCGTGGGGGGCGGGTTGCCGGCCTGGGAAGGTGGGGGGCTGACCGCCCGGTTCAGCTCCGGCCGAATCTTGGGGGACGGAATGTTGGGGATGTAGGGTGCCCGCTGTCCCCCCCCCCGTCCCCCACGGGAGTGTGTCCGTGTCTGTGTCTGGGACCTGTGTCTGCCTGGGAGCACAGACAGCGGACACCCGCCCCGCCTAGCAGCCTCCGCAGGGTACCAGCAGGAGAGGAAGCTGTGAAGGGGGAAGTCAGCGCTCCTTCCAGAAGCCGAAAGGACAGTGCAGGGGGAGCATCCTTGGTCTTTCCCCAGGAATTTGGGACTGGGGCCAGGGAGGGACTTTCTGGGGCAGGCGGACACTTGGACCTTATCCTGACTCTATTTTCCCCCCAATGTGATGGGGATAATTGTGGTCGTTGGGCTTGGAGAGGTGGCCCCGTGTTATTATTTTCTTCGCCTGGGAGCCACCCCCACCGGAGCACTTGCCTCTCCCCTGCCTGCTGGTCCCGCCCTGCTCTGACCTCCTCGCTGGCTGAGTGCAGCCCTGCAGCCCACGCAGGGCAGCGGTGACAAGCCAGGGCCTGCTGGGCCAATCCTGTCGTGGGATGCAGGGACTCAGGGTGGCCTTGGCTGGCACCAAGCCCCCAGTGACCTGACCCTGACACAAGGAGTCCAGGCGGAGATAAGGGGCGATGCTGGCACCCGCAAGGAGACAGCAGGTTCCTGCCAAGCTGCCAGCCTGCAGGCTCTTCCCAGGGAGAGGGGAGGGGACGCAGGGTGAGAACAATAATAAATACAGAGTGTGAACTGCTGCAGCGCTGGGGCTGGGGGAGGGGAGGAGGAAGTGTGCCTGGTGGGGGGTGGGCAACCTCTCTGAGAGCTGGCACCACGCCTGGGATGGGGTCTCCAGCCCCCTAGGGGATGGGGAGCTGGTTTCCCAAACCTGACTCCATCCCAGAGGCCTCTGGGCATCCAAATTCCGAATGTTTTCTCCTCCCAGCTTTGCCCTGCCCTCCCCTCCCGTTTCCTTGAAGTCTATTCCAAAAACATCTGTTTTCCATATCTGCCCATCTAGATCTGTTTGCCCCCTCCAAAAATACAATACGACAGGTGTAAACGGGAGCTAGCTGCACGGCCACCTGGGAAAGGCCAGAGGACAGTTTTGGCCTCTCCCAGGCCTGGGGGGAGATGTCTGGGCAGTGTTCATGGATGTCCACTGGTCAGGGAGGGGACTCTCTGGGTGGGCGCTGGGGGGAGACTCGGATGGCTGGTGAGGAGGGGACACCTGCCCGCTGGTCTGGAGGTGCCCCAGCCCTAGGGCATCACCCAGCAGAGGGCGCTCAGGGCCTGGCTTAGCTGGTCACGTCCACTGGTCACAGCCAGGGCTGCCAGGCTCCAGAGCCTTGTGGGCTCTGGGCTGGGGAAGTTCAGACCTCTGTCCAGGCTGAACAGCAAAACAGGGGGCTAAAAAGCAGTGGGGGGCTCTTCTTTTGTCCCAAAGCCAGCAAATGATAGTCACGGAGTGGGGGCCCTGGCACAGCGGGAAGCTCACGGGCTTTGATGTGAGTTCTAGATCAACCACTCGGTATGTGGCGTTGACCAGTCTGTGCCTCTCTCTAGGGGGACGCAGAGTGGGAAAGCGACTTGCCCAGGGTCGCACAGTCACCACCACGATGTCAAAAATGCCTTAACCACAGCAGCCCACCTGGCCACTTGGGAATGTGACAAGCAGAAGGGTTAAAGGGTCTTTTAAATAATTAAGGTCCAGTATTGGCTGTGCAGCCCCCTACACACACACACACACACACACACACACACACACACACACACACACACACACACACACGGGCGCCAGGTTTAATCAGGTCACCCGGCTGCAGGAGCAGCTCCTGCGCTGGTATATTTTAAGGAGCATCTGGGAGGCTGGGTGAGGGGCCGAGCCACGGGAAGTGCGGCTTCCACCTGGCGGTCTTGAGCTGGCTTTCTCTCCTTCCAGGGCACACCACGGACAAGCCCCCAACATTCAGGAGGCCCTTCCTTGTCATCCTGTGTTCCCTGTCCTTTCTATTTTTAAGCAATCATGCCCATTCCTCCCCATCTGCTCCCCCATAATGGGGGCTTGGGGCGGGGACATTTTTATTGGGAGAGTTGTTTTTAAGCTTAGCAGAGTTGGCGAATGACTCACCCAAGGTCATGGTCTGAGTCAGCGCAAAGCTAGAAATAGAACCCCAAGTCCTGGCTCCCCGGGTCTTCCACGCCCCACTCCTCCTTCTCCAGGGGAGGGGGGAGCTGCTCCCAGGACATGGCTGGTCCCCTCCCCTCCTCCCCTCCTGCCCAAGGCCTTTCTGCACACCCTCTGCCACAAACATCTCCAGATGCACAAGTGCTGTACCTGACCGGCTGGTGACCTCAGCAAGCCTCCGTTTACCCATCTGAGGAATGGGTGCACTAACAGTAATCATCACACAAGGTTCTTGTGAGGACTAAATGAGGAAATGGGGCAAAGGGCCTGGCACACAGCTTGGCACACAGTCAGTGATCAATCGATGTCGGCTGAAACTCATTGCGTCAGGACTTCCCACGCCGTGTTTTGATTGTATGTCTGTTCCCCACACCGGACTGGGCATCCCTAAGGGCAGGCCTGTCTCCCTCATGCTTGTTGTCCCAGTCCCTGGCACTCAGTTTTATTGCAATTGCGTGTGTGTTTTTGAAAACTGCAGAGGAGAGTTGGACTGCTCCTTATTAGTCACCTGGGCCAGCGATGATTCGATGATTCGTGTACCTGGAGAGAAAGGTGAGGCCCAGAGAGGGGCAGGCTCTGGCTGCAGTCACACAGCAGGGGGTGGCTGAGCAGGCTGGCTTTCCCTGACCTGCCTAGGCTAGGGGACATGCTCATGGTCAAGAGAGGACCATGATAGCCATTTCCTACCCCATTCTTTTCGGGGAAGCTGAGGATGCAAGAGAAGCCTCAGCACAGGCCATGGTCACCTGCTACAGGGCTGAGTCACCTTCCAGAGCACTGTGGCCCTGTGACACCGCATCAGGCCTCAGGTCATCTCCAAACAGCCCTGCTGTTTTATGTTTGCCGCCTCTGGCCCCTTTGTCTGCAGAATCAGAGTCCGCTGGGCTTCATGCAGGGCCTGCTCAGAGCCAACACGCAGGGCTGGGAGGTGCCTACTCACAGGGGGACCATTGACACAGCTCCTTGGCTCCTCCCAGCAACCTGAGCAGGGTGCGATGGTTAGCCCCACCTGACGGATGAGGAAACAGAGGCTCAGAAAGGGAGGGTCACTCAGTAGGGTGTAGTGGAGCCTGGATTCAAACCCAGGCAGGCTGGGCCCTGAGCTGCCCTCTTACCCGCCAGCGGCTGGTTCTGAAGGGCATTGTTCCTGGCAGGAGATGGCCCAGACAGGCACACCAAGTCCCTCCAGGGCCGGCCTTTAGCCCTGTTTGAACTGAAACAAATGTTCTGCAAACATATCTGTTTCTCTACTATTGAGGGAGTTTATTTTCCCATTTAGCTTCTTTTGGGAAAGTTCTTTTGGGAAAACTCCATCCTCATCTTGGCTGAAGCAGGAACAGAATTTGTCTCCCCAGGAAGAGCACTGGTTTCTCATCAGACAAATCTGGACTCTTGTCACCTGCTGTGTGATCTTGGGCAAGTCACTTAACCTTTGTGAGCCTCAGCTTCTTCATCTGTAAAATGGAAAAATTATAATTTCAACCTTATATGGAAAATAATCTCTGTAAGGACTTTGCATGGTACATGGCGTTCAGACAATAAAAGCCTGTACTTGCCGTTTTGGGCAGCAACACCCTGGAGAGAGGGTCTGAGCTGGAGGCTCGCTCTGCAGCTCCTTGGTCCCTTCTCCCTGGTCTCCTGGGCTGCTGGGCATTGTGCGTCTCCTCCAGGTCCAGGCCCTGTACTAGGTCACACAGCAAGTCAATGAGAGTGCAGGGCCTGAACTTCCCGCTCCAGAGTCAGATTGTACTGGTTCAAATCCTGGTCCAGACTGGTGTGCGGCCTTGAGTGAGTGATTTCACCTCTTTGATCCTTCGTTTCCTTCTCTGCAAAATAGGGTAACAGTAGCACCAGCTTTAAAGGGCTGTTGCAGCAATTAGACAAGAAGCTAAGGAGCTGTGAGGGGTGGGCGAGTCCTTAGGGAAGCAGATGAGAGTGAATGATGGGCTTGGCCTGGCTCGGCTAGGTCTCTCCTCCCCCCCCCCACTCACTGCCCCCCAGTGGTGTCTCTGGGAGAAGCCAGCTCTTGCTCAGGGCTTCCCCCATTCCATCTCATTTCATCCTCAAAAGAGCCCCTGGAGGAGGGATTCTTATAATCCCATTTCCCAGTTGCGGAAACTGAGGCTGGGGTGGGGAGAGGCGGAGCGCGTTCTCTACAGCTCCTGGCCCTGCTCTCTCCCAGCCAGTCCTAGAACACCCATTGCTGTGGCTGTGATTCCTCCTCTTCCTCTGCTGCCTGGTCTCTGGCCACTTCCAGAGCCCACGGCGGGGAGGCGCAGGCAGGGGAAGCTGCCGTCAACCCTGACCTGGGGTTGTCAGTGCACTTTCAGTGTCCCTGCTGCCTGCTTAGTGTGCGTCCTAGAGCGGCGGTCACAGTCACGGCGGTCACAGTCACTCAAGCGGAAGGCCTGGCTGGCCAGAGCAGGCCCCGGCTCAGCTATATCTCCCCGGCAACCACCCTGGGCTGCCTCTGCCCCTCCCCCCCAAGGACCTCCCAGCACTGGCTGTCACTGCCAAGCACAATGCCAGGCCTGGGAAAACTGCAGCAGCGAGGTCAGGACTGCCCAGCTTCCTAGAGAGAGGGAGGCAGGGCCTTTGTCCCCACTGCCTGCCACGCCTCACCCAGGTGGGACAGGCGGCACTCCAGGAGTGCTCTGCAAGGCATCTGCTACTTTCCCAGCTCTGTCATCTTGGGTGACTTTGCTGCCCTGTCTTCTTCCTTTGGCAACAGCTTTATTGAGATGTAAGTTACGTGCCATAAAATTTACCTGCTTCAGGTGTGCAGTGCAATTGTTCCTGCTGTATTGAGAGTTGTGCAGCCATCCCCACAGTCAACTGTAGAACATTTTTATGCCCCCAAAGAAACTCCCTACCCATTAGCAGTCACTCCCCATGCCCTCCTCCCTCAGCCCCTGGTGACCACTGGTCCACTGTCTCTCTCTGGACATCACGCACAGGTGGGATCAGGCGCTATGTGGCCTTCCGTGTCCAGTTTCCTCCACTTAGTGCGATGTGTGCATGATTCATCTATGATGCAGCACGAATCAGAATTTTATTTTATTTTCATGGCCAAGTGATATTCCCCTATACAGCTATCCCATAATTTGTTACCCATTCATCTGCTGATTGACATGTGGGTTGTTTCCTCTTGTTGGCTATCGTGAATAAGGGCTGCTGTGAACTTTGACGTATGAGTTTGTGTGGCTGCCTGAAGCTTCCATTTTCTTCTCTCTAAAATGGGGATGAAAATGCGGAACCTAGCCCAACCTGCCTCCTGGAATAAGCTCAGAGAGAAAAGCCCCATATCAGCTTTAGAGGGAGGAACCAGGCAGGGGAGGGGGGACAGGACGGGTCTCTACCTCCATCCACCCCCAAGAGTGGCAGAGCCCGCTCATCACCTGGGGCCACAAAAATCCCACTTTGCCATGTAATCCTGAGCAGAGGATGTAAGGGCTGGGAGCCCTGCTCCTGGGACGCGGGCGGAGGGGAGTGAGTCCTGGGCTCTCCCAGCCCTGCCATGTGGTGTTTTCGTGCTTCCTGAGCTCTGGACTCAAAAGGAGCCTTAAACTCCTCCGTGGAAACGCCAGGCTTTGGGGGACGGGGAGAGGTCACAAAATGGGGGCCAGAAATAGACCTGGAGCTCAGGAACTCACCTCTGACTTCCAGGCCTTGGGGTGATGGAATGGGGGTGGGGAACCCATCACCCCAACTCCTGAGTCACCATGGACTATGGGAGCTTCTTCATCTCCCCAGGCTCAGGCAAGCTTCACCATAGCCTGTGAGAGAGCGAGGCAGGGTTTATGCGCTCCATTGTACGGATGGGGAAACTGAGGCTCAAGGTCCGCAGCTAACAAGAGGCAGAGCTGGAGCTCTTCTGTTCTTCTGGGTCCTTCCCAGCCCCACTGTGGCAGAACACCTGTCCACAGCAGCATCTCTTCCCAACCCTTGTGCCTGGGTCGGGGAATTATGTGCTTTTCCTCAGAGGAAAATACAGGGGGAATTTTCTCAAGGCCACTAGGCACTGAGCTGTTGAGGATTTCTATGACTTAGCTTTGATAACAGCAATTTATCGGGTATCTCTGGATGCCAGATACAGGCGCACACACCAAGTCATCGCATCCTCAGCGTCCTTGACCAGGCTGAGGAGAAAGCCAGTGTTCCCCAGAGCTCGCCACACGCCAGTCCTGTTCTGAGCACGTGGAAAGTCATCGACCCCTCACAGCAACCTGTCTGTGAAATAAGAGCCGGTGCGACCCCCACTTTACAGAGCAGGAAATGGAGATGTTAACAGTGTCCACTGAGGGCCAGGCGCGGTGGCTCACGCCTGTAATCCTAGCACTCTGGGAGGCCGAGGCGGGCGGATTGCTCGAGGTCAGGAGTTCGAAACCAGCCTGAGCCTGAGCGAGACCCCATCTCTACTATAAATAGAAAGAAATTAATTGGCCAACTAATATATATATAGAAAAAACTAGCCGGGCATGGTGGCACATGCCTGTAGTCCCAGCTACTCGGGAGGCTGAGGCAGGAGGATTGCCTGAGCCCAGGAGTTTGAGGTTGCTGTGAGCTAGGCTGATGCCACGGCACTCACTCTAGCCTGGGCAACAAAAGCGAGACTCTGTCTCAAAAAAAAAAAAAAAAAAAAAAAAAAAACAGTGTCCACTGAGGCCACACTGCCGGGAGGGGGAGCAGCCAGGATTCAAACCCCGAGCTCTCCCAGGACCCTGCTGGAGCCGCTGAGTGGCTTGCTTGGGGCCACCAAGTTGTAAGTGACAAAGCTGAGATTTGAACCCAGGTCTGTGAATTTGTAACAGCTGACACTTGTGCCAAACTGTATCCCAGACAGTCACTGGCTGCCCACCCACCACCTCCCAGATCAAACTGAGAGCCGGGACTTAGGGGTCACCTGACTGTTCTGTCTTCCTGGTGAGGACGCTGAGCCAGGGAGGGGCCGAGAGTGGCCTAAAGGAGTGGCACAGGCAGGACCAGCCCTCCTGCCTACTGTCGGGGTCCAGAAGCTGCACCGCCAGACTGTACTCACTGAGCCTCTCTCCCTCTTCCAGACGGAGCCTGTGGCCAGAGAGGCCGCTGAGCAGGGCCAGGCCGGGCCCTGCCTGCAAGGACGCCCGAGCCCTTCGCCGGCCCCTGCTCCCCAGAGCCCACCAGGCTCCCCTGCTGGCCCCACCATGACGTCGGAGTCCACGTCACCTCCGGTCGTGCCCCCGCTCCACTCCCCCAAGTCCCCTGTCTGGCCCACCTTCCCCTTCCACCGGGAGGGCAGCAGAGTCTGGGAACGGGGCGGAGTCCCATCTCGGGACCTGCCCAGTCCTCTGCCCACCAAACGGACCAGGACGTATTCGGCGTGAGTACCTGCCCCTCCCCCGGCTCCGTTTCCCTTCCCCAGGACAGGGCTCAGCCTGGGCTGCCCACGCCCACCCTCCTCCAGCCCCTGTTGCCCTCATGGGGGGGACAGGGGAGCAGAGTGTGGACCTGCAGTAACTGCAGTGATTGTTCATCCACCCCCACCCTCCATCCATTCATTCCACAAAGACTTACTGAGCTCCTGGCCAGGGGTGCAGGAGGAATAAGACAAAGTCCCGGCCCACAAGCTGGCTAAGATCTAGCGGGGCTTCGTCCAGTGTGTGTTACCACCTGGCAGGGGGGTCCTGGCCTGCTGTCAGGGGAGAGGGGGTCCCGGCTGGACCAGGTGAGTGGTTGGGGGTTCGGGCAGGTGGAGCAGCATGGGCGCATACCGAGATGTGAAGTTAATCTCTGGACAGGTGGGCATGGAGACTAGCCCTGGGCCTTGGGGCGGGTCACTGGGTGGTCCTATGGGGCAGGGGTATGTGGGAGCCACAGGGAGACAGACTTGGCTTGGCCAAAGGAGTTTTTTGATGGCGAGCACTGACTGTCCGCTGTGCCGACCCAAGGCCAGGCACAGAGCAGAGCTTAGTGAATGATGAGTGAGGAATGAGTGAGCAGGATATAGCTACTTGAGGAGACAGTGAGCTCTCCATCTGGGGAGGCATTCAAACCTGTGCTGGACAATGTTCACACAAGTCTTACAACAGGAAATACATTTGAGCCCTAACAACCTCAGGAGGGAGGGTGCTGTGCAGAGAGGGGCGCTGTCCCTGGCCTGGGGCGGGTCCCCTGCAGCCCTGAGGCAGGCTTAGCTGGGGGGTCCGGGGAGCCTCCCCAGGGCATCGTGCCAATCCTCCTATCCTGTCTCCAGGACAGCGCGAGCCTCGGCCGGCCCGGTGTTCAAGGGCGTCTGTAAGCAGTTCTCACGCTCACAGGGCCATGGCTTCATCACCCCCGAGAACGGGTCGGAGGACATCTTCGTGCACGTATCTGAGTAAGTCCTCTCTCCCCTCTTGGCTTGGCCCCGCCCTCGTGTTCCCAACAAGGCCTCTAACAGGCGCCTCCTCAGGCCTCTCCCCTCACTGGCCCTGGCCAAGGTCTGCGTTCCGTCATGTCTCCCTCCGCTCTGCAGGGGCCCAGGGTGCATGGGCAGAGGGCTGGGCCCAGGCGGGGAGGAGGCAAACAGACCCCAGAAGCCCTGGCACCACTAGCCCTGGGGTCCTGTTCTAGCATTCTGGGGGCCTGAGAGGGCGCAACCAGTTCCTGGGCCTCAGCGGTGGCGGTGGGGGGCGGCCGGTTGGGGACAGAGACGGGGAGGCACTGTTTTGAGAGTCTCAATTTACAGACCGGGGAGCTGAGGCTCTGAGAAGCGAGGCTGCCCAGTCTCCCTGGCCTAGCGAGACCCAGGGCCAGGCCTCCTGAGGCTGGTGGCAGGGCTGTCTGGGGAGTGGGGCCTGCTCTTGGGCTGACCCCCTCACACCCCTTCCCCCCCACCAGCATCGAGGGGGAGTACGTGCCAGTGGAGGGCGACGAGGTGACCTACAAGATGTGCCCCATCCCGCCCAAGAACCAGAAGTTCCAGGCCGTGGAGGTGGTGCTCACCCAGCTGGCCCCCCACACTCCTCATGAGACGTGGTCCGGCCAGGTCGTGGGCTCCTAGGCTGGGTGGGTGGGCAGCAGCTGGCCCGTGACCCCACTGTGCTGGCTAGCTAGTCCCTGGGGCACGTCCCCGTGTGTCTGTGCTTGTGGCTGTGAGCGTGTGCTCTGCCCACCTGTGGCCCGTGACTGCGGTGTGAGCAGGATGGAGGGGGAGGCGGCCAGGCCTGGCTTCTCTGTGGTCTGCCGCCTCCCTCCCCTCCCTGCCCCAGACACACGAGGCCCACATGGCCTCCTGGCCACCTCCCCGAGTCAGGCTCCAGGGGAACAGTGGGACCCCTCTCTACACATGCCCGCTCCTCTTGCCCCCACTTTGTGTCCTCCTCTGCCAGGCCATGGCCCGGGGACAGACTTTGCTGTGCCACTCACACCTCCCACCCTGGGCTGGGGTCTCCCACAGTGGCCTGGACCCTTCCCCTCTGAGGCCAAGCTGGTGAGTGCTTGCCGGGAGCTCCGCACTGCGGGGCCTGGGGCCTGCCTTCCTGCTCTGTGGCACTGGAGGGGCAGGAGAGAGGGGCCTGAGGGCAGAAGGGGGCGGGGGCTCCTGAGCTGGCGGCCAGCCCCCTCCTCATCCTGGCCAGCTGTGTTCCTTCCCCTGGGCCATGCTGAGCCAGTGGCTGCTCCCCACCCTAAGGAGGTGAGGGTCCACAGAGGGGGTCCCTCTCCTCATCTGGGATGGCGCCACCTCCTTTACCCCGACTCACAAACTCACTGACGCCCTGCCCCATGCCTGGCCACGACGGCTACTGAGGACGCCTTGATGGACAGACACACGTCCCCTCAGGCAAGGCCAGGGCTGGGTGCCCATGAGGATGGCCCTCAGCCTGGGAGACCTCCGGTCCTGCAACCCCTACATCAGACCCTCGTCCCAAAGCCACAGGACGGTGGCTCCCACTGGCCCCTGACAAGCCAGTGGCTGGAGGTGTGGCCTTACCTTGTCTGTCCCTGATGTGTGGCCCCATGCCACCTGAAGTCCCTTTGGGGCCAGGGTGCGTGTGTGCATTCTTGGTGAGGTGGGGGCCTGGGACGTGGGAAAGGAGGGCCCTGCCTGCCTCCATGTCCCACCCACACCCAGCACCTCCCTTCCAGACAGTACATCGCCTGCCAGAAATGGGGCACAGGTTCAAGGGAGGGCTGCCAGGGGACGGTGACTCTCTGAGACCCGTCTGTGAGTAAAACTAGGGGCTCAAATGCCCAGGATGAGGGGGGTCAGTGCCTGCCTGCCTAGGAGGATCTCTGGCCCTGTAGGCACCCCAGGACCCCTGGGCAGAGGTCAGTGGGGCATCTGCACCCCGAGCCTGCCCCAGTGCTCACCACACAGTGGCCAGGAGCCCAGAGCTGCTGAGGTATGCTGGACAGCCCCAAAGCTGGCAGGCCCGCCCGCCTGGCACCCCACTCTTAGATAGGCTCAGCAAGGCCTGTCTCCTGAGAACAAAGACCCCACCCCGTGGCAGAGCACTGTTGGCATAGGTTGACTCCTGTGAGGAGGCCCCTTTAGGCACCAGTCAGCCCAGGACCACCTAGGGGCAGGGCAGCAGCTCCTCCCCACTCACAGGCCCTGCAGTGCCCAGCCAGAGACCCTCCCAGGTCCCCCCACTGGGCTCCCCGTCCTTCCTAACACTGGCAATAAACCCTCAACTGTGACCCACCGTGGCCAGAGCTGCCTCTGTCTGTCTGAGTCCCCAGAGTAGGGGCTGGGGAAGGACACAGTGAACTGGCCCTTGGCTGGAAGCTCCATGGCCCCCCTTGACTGGATCAAAGACTTCCTGTGTGTCTTGGCCCAAGTCCCTGCCCTCCATGCCTGTTTCTCACCTGCAGTGGTGACTGGGGCCTATGGCCCATTCAGACACAACTGACGCCACACCTTGCTCTGGGAACTTTAATATTTGTGACATAAAGTTCTCTAAAATACACACCTTCCCCACCACTTGGCCCCAGTCAACTGGGGCGAGCAGGCAGGGTGGGCTAGATCTCACGTGACAGCCGCACACACCTCCCCTCTGTGTAGACAGAAACCCGTTCTGTTCAGAAATACCAGCAGCAGCTGTGGCCAGGGCCACCGGGCGGAAGACAGGAACACTGGGCCCTGGGAGGACAGGAGCCAGCCTCACCATGGACGACGGGCTGGGGAAAGTCATCCTCACGGCCCCTGGCCCTTGCAGCAGATACACAGGGCGGGCGCCCTGGGCCCGAGCAGGAGGGACCTCAGCACCCGCCCAGCGCCAGGGTCTCTCCGTGGATCTGGGCCTGGCTCTTTGGAAGTCACCATGATAGGTGTAGGTCACGCCTCATGGGCTGTCTCTGGGAAAAAAATCTCTCGGCATCGCTGCACTGTGTCCTGAGGGGAGACCACACTGTGGCCGACAGTCCGGGGGTCAGCAAAGATCTCAAAGTCATTCCCACCCTGTGCACAGAAGAGCAAAGAAGGCACATTTGGGTGAAGCCTGTAAGAGGTTCCCATGGCGGGACTTGCAGCCCCCGTGCCTTCCTCCTGTCCCCTCAGACCCACCAGGAAGCTCATCTGGGCCTTCAGCAGACCTGCCCTGACTCGCTATGTGACATGGAACAAGAGTCCAGCCCACTCTGGGTCCAGCCTTCCAATCTGTGCTGGCACTATGAGCGATGGCTATTCTCGGGAAGCCCCCCCAAGAGGTCTGTTCTGTTGCCCTGTGTCCTGGCCTTGACCTTGGGCAATTTGGGTTGAGGGGAACCTGGGCTGGGCCACACTCACAGGGCTGGTCTCATTCCCAAAGAAGTGGATGGTGTCGAAGCTGTCCTGGTCCAGGCTGTCCAGGCAGTAGCGCTTGTCCCAGCCCTCAGGGAACACATCAAAGCTGATCATGCCTCCTGCGGGGGGGGGGGAGTGCAGGGGGCTATGATCCCCTCCTGGGAGGGGCAGACGAGCCTAGCAAAGGGGGTGAGCTTGGGCAGGGCCCCTTGTCCATTCATTCAATAACCCTTGAGTGCCCACTCAACAACGCTGGGCACAGGAAAGAGTCAAGCTCCTCACGGAAGTTGCAACTCAGCTGGGAGAACTGGTGGTGCACAAACAAGACCACCTGCAGGGAGAGAGAGGCTCACCCCCCCAGCATGGGCAGGGAGATGACCCAGAGCTGGGACTTGACCCAGAGTGGGGATGGCTGGGAAGGGGGAGGAGTGTCCCAGCAACAGAAAAGGCTGGGAGACGCAGGGGCCCCAACGAGGGCCCTTGGCTTTATTTGGAGTATGGGGAGGACCCTCTAAAGAGCTTTCAGCAGGAGCCAAGTGACCCGGATGCAGCTGGGCTCCCCTCTGGCCACTGGGAAGGGGATGAGGTGGCAGAGCGGGGCCAGGGTCATTTATAGCCTGGGAAGAACTGCTGGCAGCAGAGCTGTGAGTGGCAGTCAGATTCCAGATGCGCTTGGGACATAGGGCCCTGGGACTTGCTAGGAGACTGGACTCGGGGAGGGTTGGGGACAGAACAGAAGGGAGATGCTTAGGTTTCTGGCCTGAGCAACTGGTGGGCATGGGACATTTACTGCTGAGGTGGGGAAGCCTGGGGCCAGGGAAATACTGAGCCCCTGGCCTGGCACAGTGGCTCATGCCTGTAGCCCTAGCACTCTGTAAGGCAGAGGAGAGAGGACTGCTTAAGCTCAGGAGTTCAAGACCAGCCTGAGCAAGAGTGAGACCCCATCTCTACTAAAAATAGAAAAATTAGCTGGGCATGGTGCTTGTAGTCCCAGCTGCTCAGGAGGCTGAGGCAGGAGGATTGCTTGAGCCCAAGAGTTTGAGGTTGCTGTGATGACCACCTCCCTCTAGCCCAGGCAATAGAGCAAGACCCTATCTCAAAAAAAAAAAAAACACACAAACAAAGCAAAACAATACAAACATAAAACAAAAGACTGAGCCTCTGCTGTACCCCCAAGGGTGGGAGGGACGTCTGCAGCCTGGTCATGGGAGGGTGGGCAGTGTGAGAGGGCCCCTGGGTCAGGTCTCCCAGGGCTTCTGCAGGGTGGACGTACCTCGGGAGAACCTCAGCCCTTTGCCGGCAAACTCTGTTTTCAAGGCTTCCACGAACTTCTCCCGGATCTTCTCCTTCTGCAGAGGGGAGGGGGCAGGTTGAGTTCACAGAGCCACCATGCGCCAGGGCCTGTGCTGGGCACATGATCACATAAGCTCAGAGTCTTCCAGGTGGGCGCGGTGCCCACTGTACAGATGCGGGGTTGGGCCCCGTCAAGGTCACCTAGCCGTAGTGGCTGAGCCAGGGCTTGAATCCAGAAGGGCTGCGACTGTGGACCCTGCTAGCTCCTTGCCAACGGAGGCGTGGGCCGGTATTGGTTCAGAAGCTGGAGTGAGTGTGGGCAGGCAAGAATAGAAGACCCGTGAGTAACTGATGGTGGCACTCAGAGAGGGCAGCTGGATGCCAGGTATGGCCAGAGCACCAACCTCGAAACTGCCTCCACCCCTCCGAGCAGGACCTTGAAACTCAGGCAGCACCTCTGCAAACATGAGGAACCCTCTGGGCCTGCCCTGCTGGGGCTGCAGAGGGGAGCTGCTTGCGGGCCTGGGGCGGAGCTGAACATTCAAACCGGTCGACCCGGCGTCTCAGGTGCTGTGCATCACCGGGGCAAACGGGTCACTCAGCACACCCACGCCACCGCAGAGGCACAGAGGTTCAAGTCCCCGGCTGGTTGAAGCAATGGCAGGAGCTCAGTAGGACATTCAGCTCACGGGTGGGGGCTGGGGGTAGGGGTGTTGGGTTGGAGACCAGACTGAGACCAAGAGCCACCAAGGATTTCAGAGCCCGGGAGGGGGGCGGCTAGTACCGCCCTTGGGTGGAGTTGGCAGGGCTGGACCGGAGAGGCAGGCACGGGCAGCAGCCTGGGGCCTGGAGCAGTGGTCCAGGGAGGACGAGCCAGACATGCCCGGGACGGAGACCTGGAGGCAGGCAGCCAGGCCCTGGCTGTGTGACCACGGCAACTGGCCTGATCTCTTCTGGGCTCATTTTCTGGACTAAAGGGTAGGAAAGTAACGAATGACCCCTGCCTGCTTTCCTCCCGTGGAAGAGTAGAGATAAGGGATGTGAGCCGCCTGCTCGCCTTGGCCTTGCCTCCCAGCCAAGTGGGTGGGCCCTGGGAGGCCACAGTCCCCACTAGACGCCACTCTGTGGGCCCAGGGCTAGAGCTAAGGGTGCCCCAAGCTCTGAAGAAGTGTTCCACATGGCCCAGGGGCGCTGCATCTTTCTCTGGAGAACCAGGCTGGTCACTGGACAGCCCTGTATGCCAAGTCCAGCCTCAGCGGGGACCAGCATCATGACCTTGAGTTAGTCATTCACCCTTTTGCCTCAGTATCCTCCTCTAGGGAAGGGGACTCCGTGCCCCTCCCTCAGGACTGTAGGAGAGTAAGTCGTTCTATGGGACCTGGGCGAGGCACCTTAGGCCACTCAGATCAGGAATGTTCATGCCCTTCCAGTACCAGGAGGGGACAAACAGGAGCCAAAAAGACCAGAGAAGGGGGCTGCAGAAGAGTCAGCGCGTGCACCCCCAGGCCCCCACACCAGGCCCATTAGGTGCTCTACTCTGTTTGTTCCTTATGACAGCCCGTGGGGCAGGAGCTACTGTTATCCCCACTGCACAGGTGAGAAAACGGAGGCACACAGTAGTGAAGCTACTTCTCCAGGTTACTAGCCAAGTAGGAGGTGGAGCTGGGACTGGAGACCTGGGTGGTCTGAGAAGGGCTCACCTCTCAGTGTGTGGGAAGGGCCAATTTTAAGTACTCTGAGAAGTCCCGGGTCTGCAGGCACTGCCTGCCAAGCCTCAGGACCTGGGGTGGGAGGCCACTGCCAAAGAGTCCCACCCACCCACAGGGAAGCGCCAGAGGGCTAGAGGCAGGATCAAATCTGCTCAGCAACCAACTCCCACATGACCTTGGGCAAGTCACTTCCCATCCTAGCCTCAGTTTCCTCATTCATGAAATGGGGATGACATTACCTATTTCATTCATTCAAAAAGTACTTCCCGAGCACTTGCTACGTGTCAGGCGCAGGGATCCAGAGGGGAACGGGCTGTGGAGATCCCTTAGGGAGCGTGCAGTTCTGGTGCGGGGATGACAATAACCCAGATTTAAGAATAGATGGTAGGCCGGGCGAGGTGGCTCACGCCTGTAATCCTAACACTCTGGGAGGCCAAGGCGGGCAGATTGCTTGAGGTCAGGAGTTCGAAACCAGCCTGACAAGAGCGAGACCCCATCTCTACTATAAATAGAAATTAATTGGCCAACTAATATATATAGGAAAAAAAAAATTAGCTGGGCATGGTGGCACATGCCTGTAGTCCCAGCTACTTGGGAGGCTGAAGCAGGAGGATCGCTTGAGCCCAGGAGTTTGAGGTTGCTGTGAGCTAGGCTGAAGCCACGGCACTCACTCTAGCCTGGGCAACAAAGCAAGACTGTCTTAAAAAAAAAAAAAAAAAGAATAGATGGTAGAGGGTGTCCCAGGGTGGAGATGGCTTGGGGAGAAATAAAGCAGGGGAAGGAGCAGGAAGTCCTGGGGTGCAATGGTGGCCGCAGGCTCCATGAGGAAGGTGTTGTGCGAGCAGAGGTGAAGGGGGTGAGGGTGATCGGGCGGAGAGGCAGGCGGGATACCACTGCATTCTAGAATCAGCAAAGGGGCCACAGGTCAGGTCAGAGAGACCCACATGGACGGGCCAGCATGCAAAGGCCTGGATGGACAGATCGCTCCACCTGAGAGGGGGTGGATGGTGGGGAGACAAGCTAAATGCACCCCAAGGTTTGGCAGGTTCAGCACATCCAAAGGTGACAGGAACTTGGTGTGTTCCAGGAACAGAAAGTGGAGCATGGGGGACTGCAGAGAGGGGGCTAAAGAGGGAAGCAAGAGCCAGGCAGACCCTTCAGGGGGGGCTGGGACAGTGTCTAGTTGGCAACAGGGAGCCCCAGGAGGATTGTGCGCAGGGAGTGGGTGTGGCGGACGTATTCAGCAGGTTCTCAGTGGCACTGCTGGAAAAGCAGAGGGGAGGGGTCTGTGGGGATGGAAGGAACAGAGGGAGGGGACTTGGGGCAGCCTGGGGTAGGGGGAAGATGACAGTGTGGAGAGTGGGGTCCTGTTCTGTAGATGAACAGACAGATAAGAGCTGTTGGCTTGGGGAAGCAGAGAGAAAATAAAGACTCAGGGAGTGAGTGACTGATATCCTACAGGCCTATGGTTACGCAGCTGGTGGTACCTTGTCCAGTTCGGAGAACTCGATCCGTTCCTCCAGGGTGCAGCTGCGGCCGATGGGCGAGATGTTCAGCATGCCGTTCCGGAACTCGATGAAGGTTCCACTGGGGGGGATGGAAGGGCGGAAGGAGGGCAGGAGCCAGAGAGAAGGAAAACAGCCCTGCATTCAAATCCAGCCCCACCTGGGACCACAGCGTCCCCGGACTTCAAAGGGGACAGGAACCCACCCCCAACCCTGCTAAGTCAGAAGCCTGAGTATCTCCAGGTTCTGTCTCAGGGACGCAGGCTTTTCCTCCCTTGGGCCTGGGTTCGGAGGCCAGGCTGGGCGGGACCTCACCGCTTCTTGGGCAGTCTCAGCAGCGACATGTAGCTGAGGCAGAAGTTTATCAAGTCCTGCAGCAGCTCCTCCCCCAGGTGGTTCTGGATGGTCTGGGCAAGGAACACAAGGCTCTGAGTGTGGCCCCAGCTGCCCGACCCCAGGACAGGCACGGCACCTCTCCCTGGGACTGTCCCACTGAGAAAAAGTGGGACGGCCCTGGGGCACTGACCTGCTTGGAGAGCAGCCGGCCATGCTTATACTGCACCGTCCCGTTCTCGGCAAACACATAATCGAACTTCTCAATGACTTCAGGGCCACAGAGAGGCCAGGGGAGAAGGAAAGAGCATGAGACCAGGTCTGACTGTTACCACAGAGGCAAGCAGAAAGGACAGCCCACACCCTGGGTTTGGCATTCAAAGGCCATTCTGTTTCTCCAGCCTCGTCCCCCTCTGCAACTTTGTTTTCCCCAGACAATCCAGTCACACCTCTAGGCCTCTGCCCCCATGCAGACACACAGGCCCTTCTGCCCGAACCCACCCCTGGCTGCCCTTCCTGCATCCTCCACTGCCAGCCCGGCGGCACTCCTCGGCAGAGGGCGGCATTTCCGCTCTGTGCTCCCACAGCCCCTCCGTGCAAGGACTTCCTTCCGTTTCACAGTCCATCACTGTCTTCTCGGAGCTGGCTGCCGCCAGAAGCAGCTGGGGTGGGTGGGAGGAGGTACAGGGAGCACAGCCAGGAGGCTGCTGCAGGGTCCAGGTAGCAGGGGATCACCTGGACTGTGATGGGTGGTGGAGGTGGGGGCACAGAGGGGGCAGGAAGATACCTTTGGGTTTGCTAATGGAATGAACAAGGGGCGGGGGGAAAGGGAAATGCAAGAAACTGGAGGCACCTGCTTTGACTAAGCTGAGACCAGGGGCTCTGGGAGCCACACAATTTCCTTGGTAACTTGAGAGCCTTCCTCTGTTGCATGGGGTAACCATGCCTACTCTGAAGTGTGATTGTGATGGTGAAATGAAACGAAATAAACACATGGTCATTTTCAACAAGTGGTAGCCGTTATTGATTACACCCAATTTAAAGGTGAGGAAATCAAGACTCAGACTCAGCAGGGAGGAGAATGTGAACTGCATGGAGGCAGGATGCAGCCTGCTCTCTTCCCAGCTGTTTCTCCAGGGCCTGGCCCGAGGCCTGCCAGGCAGGCGCTCACTTAATGTTTGTTCAATCAGCGATGGAATAACTCCTCTACTTCTGCCCACAGAAGCAGGACTGGGTCCTCGAAGGTGCCCAGGGATCTCCTGAACTCCCTCCCCACTCCTTCCACCCCCTCGCCCTACACCTACCTTCATCTCCTTCGCCCAGCTGCTCAGCAATCTTAGAGTAGTCGGAGCCGCCCACCACCCCGATCTGCACTCTACTCCGCAGCTTCTGCAGGAAGGTGGCCACCTCAGGGTCAATCTTCTGTAGTGGAAAGGGGGAAGCACAGGATCTGGCTGTCAGCACGCGTGGGACCTCGACCCAGCCCTCAGTGTGCACAACCCAGAGAGCCCACAGTCCTCCTGGATCTGAAGCAGCACAAGGTTTAGACATCAAAACTTTGATGCACTTGGGTTCAAACTCGGACTCAAGTCCCTCAGAAACAGTATGGCCTTGAGCAAATGGCTTTGTCTTTCTTTACCTCATATTCCCTTGTGTAAAATGGGGACCATGGTAGTAATCACTGGGAGGGGGGTCACTGTTAGGATTAAATGAGACAATGCATCCCAAGTGCTTGGAAATGAAAAGCAATTAACTAGTGACTAAACATGAAAAGATTCCTCACTAAGGAAATGTAAACTTTCATAATAACTTATAACCCATATTTTCATATATTGATATACAAGGCCAACAATGTCCAGAGTAGATGATGTAGGGGGAACAGGCATTTTCCAATGCTATTGGTCAGAGTGTAAACTGGCACAGCCATTTTGGAGAGTAATTTGGAAAGATCTATTAAAACTTAAGGCTGGGCGTGGTGGCTCACGCCTATAATCCTAGCACTCTGGGAGGCTGAGGAGGGCGGATTGCTCTAGCTCAGGAGTTTGAAACCAGCCTGAGCAAGAGACCCTGTTTCTACTAAAAAAAGAAATTAGCTGGACAACTAAAAATATATAGAAAAAATTAGCAAGCATAGTGGTGCATGCCTGTAGCCATAGCTACTTAGGAGACTGAGGTAGGAGGATCCCTTGAGCCCAGGAGTTTGAGGTTGCTGTGAGCTAGACTGACTCCATGGCACTCTAGCCAGGGCAACAGAGTGAGACTCTGTCTCAATATCTAGTTCTCTTGCCCAAGTGTATATGGAGGTTCACTCTTGCCCAAGTGTATATGGAGGTTCACTCTTGCCCAAGTGTATATGGAGGTTCACTGGGGTGTGGTCTATTATAGTGAAAAACTGCAAACAACTTACATGTTTGTCAATCAGGGAATGGAACATACCTATCCTGACATACTACACTGTGGTTACACAGAATGGGCAGGTCTGTGCTTCCAACATGGCAGACATGTTATCACAAGACATGCTATAATGCCACTTCATTAAAAATAGTCTCACAGGCCGGGCGCGGTGGCTCACGCCTGTAATCCTAGCTCTCTGGGAGGCCGAGGCGGGCGGATCGCTCGAGGTCGGGAGTTCGAAACCAGCCTGAGCAAGAGCGAGACCCCGTCTCTACTATAAATAGAAAGAAACTAATTGGCCAACTAATATATATAGAAAAAATTAGCCGGGCATGGTGGCTCATGCCTGTAGTCCCAGCTACTTGGGAGGCTGAGACAGAAGGATCGCTTGAGCTCAGGAGTTTGAGGTTGCTGTGAGCTAGGCTGACGCCACGGCACTCACTCTAGCCTAGGCAACAAAGCAAGACTCTGTCTCAAAAAAAAAAAAAAAAAATAGTCTCACAAAACAACGCTTAATATTCACTCTGGGCAAACAGATCCAGATACAGGTCTGGAAGGAAACTTCTCTACATTACTCAGGGGAGGAGGCCAGGCCTGGGATCCTATGTGGTCAGAGAGGACTGTACCCTTAACTGTTATGTTTTCATTCTTTTTTTTTGAGACAGAGTCTCACTTTGTTGGCCAGGCTAGAGTGAGTGCTGTGGCATCAGCCTAGCTCACAGCAACCTCAAACTCCTGGGCTCAATCAATCCTTCTGCCTCAGCCTCCTGAGTGGCTGGTACTACAGGCATGCGCCACCATGCCTGGCTAATTTTTTGTATATATATTTTTAGTTGGTCAATTTCTTTCTATTTTTAGTAGAGACGGGGTCTTGCTCAGACTGGACTGGAACTCCTGACTTCGAGCAATCCGCCCACCTCGGCCTATGTTTTCATTCTTTTTTTTGAGACAGAGTCTCGCTTTGTTGCCTAGGCTAGAGTGAATGCCATGGCATCAGCCTAGCTCACAGCAACCTCACACTCCTGAGCTCAAGCAATCCTGCTGTCTCAGCCTCCCAAGTAGCTGGGACTATGGGCATGCACCACCATGCCCGGCTAGTTTTTTCTATACATACTAGTTGGCCAATTAATTTCTTTCTATTTATAGTAGAGACGGGGTCTTGCTCTTGTTCAGGATGGTTTCGAACTCCTGACCTCAAGCAATCCGCCCTCCTCAGCCTCCCAGAGTGCTAGCATTACAGGCATGAGCCACCCCGCCCGGCCTGTTTTCATTCTTGAATGAATGAAACGTGCTCATGAATATGTGTACAATTAAAAATTAACTTGTGAAAAGTGCTAAGCACAGGGCCTGGCTCTCCTCGACTAACACACTGTTCTTGTTCAGGTTGTTGTGTGTCAGCGGAGCAAAGGGTCAGAGGGAGGCCAGGGGACTGTGCCTAGGCCCTGCCACCCTCCCTCCAGTTCTGTCAACTTCCTCCCGGATCCATCCAGGAGGGAGGGAGGGTAGGCAGATTCCTCCCTGTCCCCAGCCCCAAGGGCCTAAGTCAGGGCAACTTCACCATGGGGGAGGGGAATTCAGGACCTAAGAGAAGAGGCTTAGCCACTGCCCAGTAATCCATCTCAATGCTCCCCTGCTGTAGGAGATCGCTCCCTCGGTAGGTCCTTATGGCCCTGGATTGGCGGATGGAATCCCCACAGGATGGGCATGAATGAGCCCTGCTTATTCAACAGCATCCAGCTGGTGAGGGTGGACTGGGGAACTCGGGATGCGATCCAAAGTGAGAAAAACTGAACAGAGGTTGGAGGGTCCGTACTGTGAGACACCTTTAGGAGGAAAACTACACTCCCATCCTCACTAAGCCTCAATGTCCCCCAGTAACCAGACTAGGCCTGGAGCCTCTCACCTCCAGGTGGGTGGAGCCCATAAACTCATGGGAAAAAAGGCCTCTGCCTCCAGACTGCGGGTGGAAGGTAAAGCGTGTGAGGGGCTTGAGAAACTAAACCCAGGCCCGGGCCTGCAAAGGCGGAGGTGGGATGGCTCCAAGACTCCTTGGCCTCCACCAGGTGCCTGGAACCCCAATTCAGAAGCCAGCTCTAACTACTGCTGCGTCCCAGGGCTGAACTAGGGTGGGAGCCCCCGCTGGTGAGGCGGGGGCGGCCCGGAGCCAGGCTCTGGCGTGTGTAAGCCTCTTGGAGCCAGGCTTTGGCTTGTGTAAGCCTCTGGGAGGATGCGGGGAGAGGAATGGGAACTAGGCCCCCGCTCGCAGCCTCCTCCCTCCACAACTGGATTCAGCCCCAACACTCCCAAGGCAGAACGTGGGCGCGGACGCTCAGGGGTCTGTGACGGGGGGACCCGGATCCCCATCACTGCCATTGGGCGGCCAATGAATGTCAGGGGCCGAGTACCGCGGCATCCCACATCGGTCCCCGGGTGTCCGCGGTCACGCTGCTGCAGGCCCCACACTCAGCCTCAGGGTGTCCGCGTGACACTCCTGGCAGGGGCTTTCGAACGGCAGGGTCCTACCTGGCGGGCAGGCGTCAGGGTCCCGTCCACGTCGAACAGGCAGAGGACGCGCTCCTTCCTGCGGGCGCCCTCGGCTGCTACCGCCATGGCTGCAGCTCCGCACCCCGGTCGGATCTGCCTGGTGCAGCCGCCAAAGTCGCGCGGGGGAGAGGCCGGCGGGGCGGGGCCAGAAGGGGCGGGGCCAGAAGGGGCGGGGCCAGAAGGCCCGGCCGGGCTGCGCCGAACGAAAAGGGGGCGTGGCCAGGGCGTGATCTTGGCGGGAGAAGGGTGGCCCGGACGGGGCGGGGGCGGGACCCGAGCCTCGCAGGAGCTGGATTCTGATTGCACCTGGCAAAGGGGAGGCGTGGCACGGGGCGGAGCACAGCCTGCTCCAGGTTCGGTCTGGTTGCTCCGAACCAGACGAAGGCGGGGCCTGAGCCTGGGCGTGGCGGGAAGTGAAGGACAGAACGCGGAAGCCCGGGGCGGGGTCGGAACTGGACCCTGGCGGGTGGATCCGGCGGAGAAGGGCAGGGCATTGCCGGGCGGGGCAGGGGCGGGACTACCCCCGCCCCCAGGTTTGTAGGGTAATCTCTTTGCCTTGCAACTCTTGAGCTTTAAGAAGTCTCCTGATGGGGCCGGGCGCGGTGGCTCACGCCTGTAATCCTAGCTCTTGGGAGGCCGAGGCGGGCGGATTGCTCAAGGTCAGGAGTTCAAAACCAGCCTGAGCAAGAGCGAGACCCCGTCTCTACTACAAATAGAAAGAAATTAATTGGCCAACTGATATATATATAAAAAATTAGCCGGGCATGCTGGCGCATGCCTGTAGTCCCAGCTACTCGGGAGGCTGAGGCAGAAGGATCACTCGAGCCCAGGAGTTTGAGGTTGCTGTGAGATAGGCTGACGCCACGGCACTCACTCTGGCCTGGACAACAAAGCGAGACTCTGTCTCAAAAAAAAAAAAAAAAAAAGAAGTCTCCTGATGGCCTTTGCTCAGGCTTTGGGTTTTGCTGGCCTTCCCCGACCCTTACGCGTCCTTATGTCATTACGTCCACCCATATAGCCCATCTCACGGCCCCCTTACTTCAAGAAATCTTCCCAGATTCTACTCATAATTATTTAACCATCTTGTTGACTTTGGAGTCAGTTCTGAGTTGTCTTCCCAGCTCCACCACTATGTGACCTTGGACAAGTCACTTCACCTCTTAGAGGCTTTGTGTCTTTACCTATAAAATGGAAATAACATCAGCTACTCTGTAGGGTTGCTTTGCATATGAAAATAAATAATAAGCCGGGCTCCAGTGGCTCATGCCTGTAATCCCAGATGGGAGGCTGAGGCTAGAGGAGGCTAGAGGATCACTTGAGGATCGCTTGTAAAAGAGCCCCACAGAGTACCTAGCACACAGCAGGCCCACACCATAAGGGAATTTGTATAGATGTGCTTAATGCTGTTACTGATTAAACAACTATTGCATGTGTTAATGGAAAAGAAGCCAAACTCCGTAAAATAATTTAAAGAGATTTATTCTGAGCCAAATTTGAGGATCATGGCCTGGAGCCACACCCAAGAAGCCTTGAGCAAGTGGACTCACTATGGTTGGGTTACACTTTGGTTTCATACATTTCAGGGAGGCAGGGATTACAGATAAAATCCTAAATCAATACATGGAAGGTATACATTGATTTGGTCCAAAAAGGTGGGGCATCTTAAAGCGGAGCTTACAGGTTTAAAAACTCTTTAACTTGTAATTGGTTTTTAAAAATTTAGCTTTGGGCCGGGCGTGGTGGCTCACACCTGTAATCCTAGCACTCTGGGAGGCCGAGGTGGGAGGATTGCTTGAGCTCAGGAGTTGGAGACTAGGCTGCGCAAGAGCAAGACCCCATCTCTACTAAAAATAGAAAGAAATTAGTCGGACAACTAAAAATATATACAAAAAAATTAGCTGGGCATGGTGGCGAATGCCTGTAGTCCCAGCTACTTGGGAGGCTGAGGCAGGAGGATCCCTTGAGCCCAGGAGTTTGAGGTTGCTGTGAGCTAGACTGATGCCACGGCACTCTAGCCCGGGCAACAGAGCAAGACTCTGTCTCAAAAACGAAACAAAACACAAAAAAACAATCAACATTTATTTATTTATTTATTGAGGCAGAGTCTCACTTTGTCACCCAGGCTAGAGTGAGTGCCCTGGCATCAGCCTAGCTCACAGCAACCTCAAACTCCTGGGCTCAAGCAATCCTTCTGCCTCAGCCTCCCAAGTAGCTGGGACTACAGGCATGCGCCACCATGCCTGGCTAATTTTTTCTATATATATTAGTTGGCCAATTAATTTCTTTCTATTTATAGTAGAGACAGTGTCTCGCTCTTGCTCAGGCTGGTTTTGAACTCCTGACCTGGAGCAATCCACCCACCTCAGCCTCCCAGAGTGCTAGGATTACAGGCGAGAGCCACCGCACCCAGCCTGTATTTATTTAATATACATCACAAGGGCTCAACCAGATAGTTACTTTGAAAAACAGAAACAAGACAACACAGCTCAAGATACAGAATCCTATACAGAAATCATGGAAAGGATAGACCATCTAAGGGGAAAAAAAGATAGCACAGGGAGAGTCCAGATAGCCCTGGTCAGGGCTCCTGGCTGGACACCTGCTTTGAGTAGGTTTCCTGCAGGTACTTCTTAAAAGCCGTGGACGTCATATTGGGCAGTCCACTTGTCCTTCAGAATATCGGTAGATGTTACCCTGGGTGTCCACGCTGGGGTGGTAGCAGGGCATGAGGAACTTCACCGTCAGGGCGTTGTAAGGGTAGCCACTGGGGATCTCTAGGGAGAGCTTATAACTCAGTCTTCATATACTGTGCCGGCTGCTCCATGGATGTCCCTACCCATTTGAAAAGGTTGTCTGATTCAGGAAAGGCAGAAATTCCTTTGTCACCAGACATCATGAGGATCATGAGATCATGAGTTCCTGCTGTAACCTTTTGCCCACTGTGCCCCAGGGGGTGCCCACTGGGGTGGGGGGGCCTCCTGTCTCAGCCTTCCAAGTGGCTGGGACTACAGGAGCACACCATAATGCCTGGTTAATTTTTCTATTTTCAGTAGAGATGGGATCTCCCTCTTGCTCAGGCTGGTCAAAAATTTAGCCTTGTCTAAGGGCTCCAAATGTCTTAAGAAAGTCTGTTAATCTGTGACAAACTACTGGCCATATATTTGTTGTGTAAATTGAGGACCTGCAGGTTTTTTTGCATACCCTTAGGCCTGTTAATGAATTACAAAGGACATCTGCAAGAAGGGAGGGAGGCATGATGAGGCATGTCTGACCTCTCTCTCTTGGCCTGCAACTGCAACTCAGTTTTAGGGTGTCCCCTTAGCCAGGAGGAGGTCCATTCAGTCAGCTGGTGGCAGGGAGAGTCTTACTATTTTATTTTAGTTCACACATGTGTTAAAAGACTTAAAAATGTGCAGATTCAAAAGGACAAGGTGGGGGTAGCCCTTGTTGCCATCACTATGTCCCTTTTGTTACCTAAGGAGGTTAAGGGGTTGAGAAAAAGGAAAGAGGAGTTTATTAATTTGTTGGCAAATGAGTAGGACAAAGACTTGCCCCTTAAAATGCCATCAGCCTAATCATAAACAGAAATACAGAGCTTTTAAAGGGAGGTTTTCAGTCAGGCTATTTTGAACTATACACAGGATTCTGATGAGTCCCATCTGTGGGAAGACAATCTTGTGACCTCTGCCCCACCTGGACCTCTGGGACTTCCACTGGGGCAATTCCTTTGAAACTTCTCCTGTGGTACAAAGAACAAAGGACACTCCCCTGGCACTACTGACCACTAGCCTGAGGTAGAGATGTAGATTTTAATTCCCAAAAAGAGTGGGGAAAGTTTTAAAGACAGAAAACATTTTTACCCTTTTTTTCAGGCCATTCCCTCTATTATGCTGCAAGAGGAAGGCTCATCCCTGGCAACGGGTGCTCAGACAGGGCCCTGGGGAGGCCCCTGGGGAAAGGAACTGGCAGGGCTGGGAGGAGGGGAGGACTGGCCAGAAAGATCACTTGGAGGAAACCGGAGGAAGCTGGGACTGATTCTGCTCTGGAAGGAAGATTCTGGGCTATTCTGGGCCAGACCTGGGGCTGAAATTTGGAGGTTAGTGATGTCTATGTTTGGTTTAGGCATTTCACTTACTTTTTCCAATAAGTCTCTGAGGCGAGTACCCTTATACTTGGTTTCCAGAGGTGGGTACTGACACCAGAGAGGTGCAGTGACTTTCCTAGGGTCCCACAGCACAGCCAGGATTCCCACTCAATCCTGTTCCCCCAAAGCGCTCACTTTGTCACGGCTCCCGGCTGTCGGTAGAAGGCCATGTGTCAACATGTCCAATAAATACAGGGATCGATCCTCTTTTTCTGTCCCAGTGCGATCTTTTGAGTGCTGGCAGTCCCATCTGAAAGGCAGCCTCTGCGTTGTGGGGTTTACGGTCAGGTCAGACCGACAGTTCCTGGGGCTGCCCCTCCCCCAGGTGACCTTGGGCAGGTCCCTCCCACTCTGAGCTGTTGCTCATCTATAAATGGGGCCAACACTGGCAGTCTGGCCGGGCGGGTTGGGAGGAAGATGAGGGGAGCAGGGGCGGACGTGTGCTTAGGGAGGCTCTGCAAGGACCAGGCAGGGAAACTGTGGGGGATGCCGGCAGCCCTCGCATTGTTGTCACAGTGAACAAGTCCATTGAATGTAAACAAGCTGAAGGGCGCATGTTCAGAGGTGGCTTCCTATGAGGGGGTGGAGGCTGTTGCTGGGTTGGCTCAGGCCCCCTTGGGGCTCCCTCAGCCAAAGACAGTGGGGACAGAGCTGGTTCCAGCCATAGCACTGCACTACTTGGGGGTGTAGAACAGGGGTGGCAGCCCCTGACACCGGATGTCAGTGGTCTCTGTGGGTCAGAGCTCAGCCCCAGGACTGGAAGAACTTGGCCAAATCACTCTCCTCACCTTTCAAGGGGTGGGGAGAGGAGTTACACCAGAGGGACTGTAGAGAGGTCTGACCGACCCAGTTTCCATTGTACAGATGAAGAAACTGAGGCACAGAGAGGGGAAGGCCTTGATTAAGGTCTCAGAGTCGGAGGCTGGCGGGAGCGTGCCTGGACGCACTCATGGGAGGGAGGGGGCAGCCCGGGCCAGGGAGAGGTGGAAGGCTGTGGATAGGACATGCTGGCACGGGGCCTGAGGAGGGGCTGGGGAGAGGGAATCCAGGTGAAACCAGATGTGACAGGGACTGGGGTTGGCCCTTGCATGAGGGTGTGGGGGTTGGACCAAGGAGTCCAGGGACAAGTTTGAGAAGGGCCTTGAAAATTGAAGACAAGGAGCTTGGCTGTTACCTCGTGGACTCTTGGGGAGCCATGCAGGAGCTGAGGTGTGTGGGGAGCAGGGCCGGCTTACAGAGGTGGCTTGTGGTACTCCAGACCAGCCCAGAGTTTGGCTGTGGGCTGGGCTGGGCGCACGAGTCTACAGCGCCACCTGGTGCCCATCTCTCTCACCACAGTGTGACCTTGCCTGGCTCTCCAGCTGGGGATAGACTGGGGGCAAGCTTGTGACCCGGACCAGTCCCAGAACCACTCCCCACCTCCTCCCACAGCAGCCAGGCTCCATGGTCAAGGGCTCACATCCTGTGGTGTGCCAGGCTCCTGCTGGGCTCCTTGCCTGCCCTCTCAGGCCACAGCTCCTGTCTGGGCGCCAGGAGCCATGGGTCTCATGGTCCAACCCACTCCCAGCCTGGGCAGGTGGCCTCCCACACCATCAGTGCATCCAAGCAGGTCCTTCCGGCTCCACCTAACAGCTCCCTCAGGCTTTGGGGACCTTTGCTGGAATGTGCTCTTAGAGCTTCGTCTATCCCTACCACCACTCCCCCCCACCCCGGGCTGTACCTATAGTCACTGCATGTTAGGAGAACAGACCAAGGTACCAAAGAGCATGTGTAGCTCGTGTGTCTTCAAAGGCACAGAAACATCGCAAGGAGAGGCACACGATGGTATTAATATCAGTGGCTTCTTAGGATGATGGGAATTTCAGGTGATTTTTTTCCTTTCATCTTTGTGCTTTTGTTTGCTTAAATTTTCTGAATACATATTGTCTTCATACTCATATAAAATCTATTTTCATTTAAAAAAACAAATAGAGAAATCTCGGCATACCCCAAGTCAAAGCTGGAGCAGCCCAGTAAAAGCTCACAGAGGCAGGGGAAGGGGCCCCGCAGTCCCCATGGCTCCCCTTACCCCGCGTCGCCGTCGTGGGGGTAGTTCTGTTCCCCTGCACTTTAACCCCCTGGATGCGGGGCCCAAACTCAATCCCAGGACTTCTCCATGGATCCGGGCACAGGGTGCACAGCCGCCCCGCCCCCACAGGCCCATCGGGTCCTGTCATTCTCATGCTTCACCCTCCACTACCCCATTTGCTCTTAAGCTGCCCACTCCACCTCCTCTCAGGCCCTCCCTCCAGCGTTCCTTTCTCAGCAGTTCCCTCTGCCTGGGTCACTCTCCCCTCAGATCTGAGCTCTTCATCATTTGGGTTTCAGATTAACTGTCACCTCCTCCTAGAAGCTTCCCCTTACCTCCAAACATATATTGCCCCCATTATGTGGTTGCATGGTTTTTTCTTTCTTTCTTTCTTTCTTTTTTTTTGAGACAGAGTCTCGCTTTGTTGCCCAGGCTAGAGTGAGTGCCGTGGTGTCAGCCTGGCTCACAGCAACCTCAAACTCCTGGGCTTAAGTGATCCTGCTGCCTCAGCCTCCCGAGTAGCTGGGACTACAGGCATGTGCCACCATGCCTGGCTAATATTTTCTATATATATATTAGTTGGCCAATTAATTTCTATTTTTAGTAGAGACGGGGTCTCGCTCTTGCTCAGGCTGGTTTTGAACTCCTGACCTCGAGCAATCCGCCCGCCTCGGCCTCCCAGAGTGCTAGGATTACAGGCGTGAGCCACCGCGCCCGGCCTGGCTGCATGATTTTATTTCTTCTCTGGCACTACGACCATCTGAGATCACTTAACTTGCCATCCTCTTGTCTCCCAGCTTTCCTGGAATATAATCCCTGCCTAGGCGGGCCCTGCCAGTCCTGACACCTGCGGCCCTAGCACAGTACCAGTACAGCTTCCCACTTGTGGGCTCCTGGAGAAACCTCTGTGGGCCTGAAGGAACTCACGCCAGACCAACTTGTCACGCATCACAAAGTCTAAGGCTAGAACACCTGTTTTCTGCCATTTCCCCCAATAGGTGGATGTTTTGTAGACTCCCTCAATAGGGAGGATTGGCCTGGGCCTCTGCAAGGTGCTGGCTTGCAGGAGTCCCCAGTCAATGGCTGTTGAATGGATTCTGCCCTCTTAGCCTGATGTCCACGGAGCGGTTAATCTGTGCCAGGCACTGGGCACAGTGCTTTACATTTCCTCCTCATCACCACTGTGAGGGAGGTGCCATTTCCCCTATTTTACAGGTAAGGAGACAGGATAAAATGGGTGGGTCCACAGTGGCAGAGTTGGGACTAAGCCCAGGCTATGTGATCTTGGAGTAAGCATTCTTCTTTTTTTGAGACAGAGACTCACTCTCTTGCCCGGCCTGGAGTGCTGTGGCATCAGCCTAGCTCACAGCAACCTCAAACTCTTGGGCTCAAGCGATCCTTCTGCCTCAGCCTCCTGGGTAGCTGGGACTACAAGCACACGCCACCGTGCCCAGCTGAATTTTTATATATATATATTTTTAGATGTCCAGATACTTTCTATTTTTTATTTTTTGGAGACAGAGTCTCACTCTTGTTGCCCCGGCTAGAGTGCCATGGCATCAGCCTAGGTCACAGCAACCTCAAACTCCTGGGCTCAAGTGATCCTCCTGTCTCAGCCTCCTGAGCAGCTGGGACTACAGGCATGTGCCACCATGCCCGGCTAATTTTTTCTATATGTTTTTAGTTGACCAATTAATTTTTTCTATTTTTAGTAGAGACGGGGTCTTGCTCTCATTCAGGCTGGTCTTTAACTCCTGAGCTCAAATGATCCGCCTGCCTTGGCCTCCCAGAGTGCTAGGATTACATCTTTCTATTTTTAGTAGAGACGGGGTCTCGCTCTTGCTCTGGCTGGTCTTGAACTCCTGACCTTGAGCGATCCTCCCACCTCAGCCTCCCAGAGTGCTAGGATTACAGGCATTGGCCACTCACTGCGCCTGGTCACGGAGTAAGCATTCTTAAAGACTCCTGTCTTTGGACATGTCAGCCCTCAGGAAGCAAGTATGTCAGCCAAAGCCACCTGCACTGTGTCCTCAGGAGACAGTCAGAATGTTTGTTTTATTCCTAAGCTTGCACACTGGAAAAATGCAGTGCCGACATGACGAGGTCTCAGCAGTGTGGTGGATTCAAGCGTGGGCTCAGCCACTAGCCAGCTGTATCACCTACTTGCTGTGTACCGGCTTCCTCCTCTGTAAAATGGGACAAACCAATACCCACATCTCAAGTCCACGGTGGGTGGAAGCACCTAGCACAGGTCAGGCCCAGTGAAGGTGCTCACTCAAAGCTGGCAGACTGGATATTCAGATACCTCCAGCTAGGCTGGCACATCTGGCAGTACCAGGGTGGCACTCAGCAAACCACCCACCAACCCCAACACTGTAGGGAGAGAGCCTTGGGGCCACAGACCCAGGCTATAGCCACGGTGAAACTAGAAGTGAGCACTTCCTGGTGCGGTCAGACACCTGCTGATGGCCAGAGGCCTCCAGAAGATCCCAGAATCTGAAGCCACCAGACCAGGCTTTGAGTCTTACTCTACCACCAACCACAAGGTGACCTTGGGCAGGTGATATTCTCTCTGGGCCCTTTCCCCATGTTTACAAACCAGTGGTGGGACCTTCTTCCCTGCTATTGTCACTTCTTATCCACAGGGCTTACAACCAAGCAAAGATGAGCAGAGTTAAGCTACAAGGGAGACAGACTGAGAAGCCTGGGGTCACTTTATGCTGGATGCACACCCAGCCCTGATTCAGGCACCATACAAATGCAGCAGGCAGAAACGAGTTTATTGCATTAGAAAAAACACCAAAGAAAATCAGCAAATACCTCTGTACTAGACAGTTATTAGTTTGACTTATGGGCATAATGGAATCTCAAAGGTACAAGATTTATTTCTGGGAGGGGGTGACGGTTTCATCCCTCCTCCTTCCTTGTCCCTTTAAACCAGTGGACCTCTATGGAGATGTCCCTGTGCAATACAAGTACCTGGCTCATTTCCTACCCTGCTTGCCTCTACACATCCAGATGGAGTTAGCTGGTCACAATGAGCATGCTCCCGAGGTTCTGGGAAAGAGGAATGTGAGGATGGGGTTCGGGGGTCCTAGCCTGAGCCTAGGCTTCCACAGTTGTGGGGCTTGCATGGGGGGAGGGAGAGCTTGCCTTCCTGCAGAGCTCTAGGAAGGCTGCTCACTGATCCCTCCACCTCTCCTCACAAACTCTAGGGCACCGGCATTGGCACAAATGGCTGCTGGGCATGAAGGGGGCTGTTCAAGGAACCAAGTGACTCAAATTCTGTCAGGAGAGCTGCTTATGCCAACTTCTTAGCATAGCCCTAGGTCTGAGGGGGACCGCTGGGAGGAACACAACCAGCTCAGCCTGGATCTGGGAGAGGAGAAAGAATAAAATGATGGAGGTGAGAGCACCGGGCAGAGAGGCTGCAGTAGGAGCCTGGAACAGAGGGAGGGCTGGGCCAGGAAGCTGGAGGAGGAAGAACACCAGTGGGAGGCAGAGTGCTGGCCTAGACCAACCTGCTGCCCTCCCAGAAGAAACCCAGCCTCTGAAACCCATTCTCCTTGGGCCCAGTTCTGCCAGCAGATCACCCTTATACAATAGTCCCTGGTAGTCTCTGCTCTAATTTGTCACTTCCATCCACACTGGCAAATCCATGGGTCTTGAGAAGAATTAAACTGTTCACTTATTTGGCCTCCAGTCTTAAAGAACTAAAATGTCCCTTGACAGTCTAGCTGGACATGCCGTAGTCAGGTCTCAGGCAAACACTAAGGCAGAATGACATCTTTTCCTCTAGCTGAGACCCTAATGATGCCATCTGCTATGGCTACTGGCAAAGATAGCAGGGGATAGGGCCAGAGATGAGCAGCAGCTTTTTGGAGAAGAAAGGCCCCTGCTGCAGGCCAGAGGCCCAGGAAGGAACAACCTAATTCAAGTCTGAGCAGTGGCAGGAGGGGCCCAAGGATGCCAGAGCTGAGTCTCAGGCATCTGGGAGCTCTGAGTCCCTTTCTCCAAATGCAATTCCCCCAAAACTAATGGGAGGCTCACATGAAGAAAGGGAATCTGAAAGCCTCTCTAGATCAGAGACTTCCAGACTGTTCCCTACCTATCAACTCCAAGCAGCAAGTCATTAGGAAAATGCCCACTCACGCCTAGTGCTTCCTTAAAGTCAGAATGACAACGGAAATAATGTGTACCTTCAAAACGCATTTTGGATAATGTACAAGTCTCCATCAGAAGCAATTCTAAATTTTCTTGCCACCTTGATTCTGCGTCATTTTTTCTACACCAGGGATATTTTCCTAGAGCAGGGAATCATGTCCCTTGGTCCCGAACTGAATACCACATCAGTCTGGTGGTGGTTATAGAGACTACACATAACCTACATCACTACTTGCAGACAAAGGCCTGGGTCTGTGCCACTCCAGCCCAGACCTCATCACTTATGATGCATCAGCTGTGCTGAGGGAGAGAGCCTCACGGGCAGGAAGGCAGGTTTCCCAAAACTGACGGCAAAGTACTGGCAATCCGCGCAGGTGGAAGGAGGAATGGCTTTATCCTGTTTTCTCTGGCCTGATACTTGCTATCACTCTCCTGAGGCTCTGGCTGCTCCAGCCCTGGCCTTGCTTGGGGCAGGGGAGGGACGGTGAGGATGGTTGTAGCTGAAGAGTTCACTGAGGTTGGCTTAGTCATCCTGAAACTGGTCCCATGTGCACCAAATCCTTTGGTTCATTTAATGCCAGAAAGTGACTGCTTCTAGGTCATGAATGTTATAAAACTCACCTGAGTCCCACAGGTGTTGGCAACTTGGGTAGAGCGTGAGTGTTCTCTGGAAGGAGGTTCTAGGTTGGGGCTCCCCCAAATTTTGCCTCTTGCTTTCTGCTTAAACAAACCCCCTCCCTTTCTCCAGTGTGGAAGACGCTTAGGAAACAGCGTCAAAAGTGAACTCACAGACAAGACAGCCTTAATAAATTAGTATAATACTATTAGAAGGGGTGGCATTTTGTTCTGTTTCTTAGCAGCATTGTCCTACATGCAGCCTGATGATCTCCTTCCCTGGGAAATTTAAAAAGCCGTCCCCTGGTTGTTAGCTCTGATGTAAAATTATAAAATAGAAATCTGGTAGGGTTTGTTTTGTTTAAAAAGGAAAAGCCCTGGTGAGGCAGGGCGGTCCCATGCAGTCCTGTTAGCTCTGGCCGTTGGGTCTGCCCACGGTGCTCCCTCCAGGAGGCTGGATCTGGATGGAGTCCAGGAGGGGCCGAAGCGCCTGTCCAAAGGGCCTGCAGGGAAACAGAGGCATGAGCAGGGCACACCCAACACTGCCAGGTAGGGAGAAGGGTGCACAGCGGTAGCTGTAGCTTCACCACACCAGGAGGAAGGACCCCATTACCTCATTTAATTTTCTCACCTGACTCACATATCAGTTTTCATACAGCGCAGCTCTGTTTCATTTTTCTTTCTTTCTTTTTTTTTTTTTTTTGAGACAGAGTCTCGCTCTGTTGCCTGGGCTAGAGTGCCGAGTGCCGTAGCTTCAGCATAGCTCACAGCAACCTCAGACTCCTGGCCTCAGGCGATCCTCCTGCCTCAGCCTCCTGAGTAGCTGGGACTACAGGTGAGTGCTACCATGCCCAGCTAATTTTTTCTATATATTTTAAGTTGTCCAGCTAATTTCTTTCAATTTTTCAGTAGAGACGGGGGTCTCGTTCTTGCTCAGGCTGGTCTTGAACTCCTGAGCTCAAACGATCTGCCCGCCTTGGCCTCCCAGAGTGCTAAGATTACAGGTGTGAGCCACTGCACCTGGCCCATACAGTGCAGCTCTGAAACAGCCTGCTCTGCATTTTCACTCCTGTAGTTCCCTTCTCAGAGTCTCACATCGAGAGCCTGGTTAGCTGTGGTTTGAATAGGCTGGCTACACACAGGGAATTAGAGCGTTCAGGACTTTATGTACCTCTATCTTTGATTCTCATGAACAAGAAGATTAAAAATAAAGTTTAAGTGAGGAAACTGAGGCAAAATAAAATGATATGAAAAAGAAGATAAGGTCAGGCGTGAGGATGGCTCATAATTAGATTCTTTAGGAACTGAGATCTTCCAAGGAGTACAGAGAATATTCAGGAAAAATAAATGACAAATGCCAGGTTGGCAGAAGGTGTTAAAACCACTTTCTAAAGGGCTCCCAGTGTGTTCTCTCAGTAACTTAGCTGGAAAAAACACTGCAAATACCGGAGTTTGGAGACTTTCCAAGATTACTGCAACCTTAAGTTGCCCATAACACATCTCAATCAATGGCTTTTTTCTTCAGTGGATACTGCCATTTTTGAAAATCTTCCCTAAGTTCAAAGAGAATGAAATGCTCCAAAGTATAAACAGATGAAACTTAGAAATATCAACCCTAATTCATATAAGTCCAGGAAATCCACCCATCAAATAATAATAGTAAGAACATTCCAGCTACTCAAGTTTGCTTAGGGCCCCATAACCTGCATCCTTCTCGGTAGGGCTGTGGGGTTTAACAGCCCACCAAGGGCTAGGAGAGCAGTGCTGGGCTGGGGGACTGGTGCCCCTCACCTGCCTGACAGTCTTGTTTCCTGTGCAAGTTTTTCCTGAGAGGTTCCTACTCAGGTATGAAAAACAGCTCACCTTGCTGAGCTTGCTAAACCTGCTGGGAGCCTTGTTGATAGGGCCCTAGTTTAGGAGAAACTGAGTCAGAGTCTGCAAATGGACATGGTCCTGGCGTAGGCAGAGGCGGTCTGAATGCAATCAACAACAAAGGGAGGGAGGGGGATGAGATGGCTTTGCAGGTATGTGTGTCCTTTCAGGGGACACTGCCTGGATGGTGGCCCACAGGCCTTCCAAGGCTTGGTCCACATCAGGACAGAAGGGCTAGAGTGTTCTTGAAAGAAATGTCTATTGAGGGCTGACTGTGCAGCCAGGTATAGGGCAAGTAGAACATTGTCTCTGAGGGAGTCAAAGAGCCCATGGTGCAGTGGAAGACAGACAAAGGAACAGTTACAAAGCAAGCCCTCTTATTTTTTTTCTCTGATCCCCTCTCTGTTCATCTTCCTAACAAAGCATTTTTTTTTTTTATTTCGGCATATGATGGGGGTACAGATTTTAAGGTTTCAATAAATGCCCTTCCCCCCTCCCCCCACAAGCTGGTCCCAGCCATGACCATCCCAGACGTCACATCTCACTCATTTGTATGTATATACCCTGCCCCCTGCCCAATACCTATTACTGTAGTACCTATGTGTCCACTTAGGTGCTGCTCATTGAATACCAGTTTGCTGGTGAGTACCCTAACAAAGCATTTTAACCAGGTGCGTCTGGGGAGTGGCATGCTTCATGCACAATGGAAAGACAGATGCCAGGATTTTGTACAGATACAAAGCCAGTATCAGGTGGGTTTCTAAGTTCTGCCATTGCACTTAGGCCAGAGTTGAGCTGCTCTAACCTTGAGGAAGGTGGAGATAAGACAGGTGCGTGTCAGTGGGCGGAGACAATGGTGGCCGCCTGTGTGCAGGCCTTGGGCAGCACGGCTGCCTGGAGGGCAGATATGCGCCAGAGGAGGGGCACTGACTGTGAATGGGGATCTTCAAGGTTGGCCAAGGCAGGGGCAGGGACAGAGGCCACACTTACGTGGAGAGAACCTCGGAGGGCAGGTCAGTGATGTAAGAAGGGATCTTCCGCCCAGTCAGGAACTGCGCCACTTCGTTGCTAAAGGTGTTACAGTTGTGTTCAAAGAGGTTGTAGGCCTCACCTCTGTGCATCGAGAGAAAAATTTGGAGAACAGAGATGAGAGAGCCAGCAAGCACCTCTGTGGAATAACTCAAACCGGCAGTGGCATGGTGAGCACTGGTGAATGTGAGGACTGATTTTCCCCTCTCACAGGCCAAAAGGACTGCTGCTCAGCCACTCTGGACCATTGACAACTGACCATTTAGGGAAGGATGAAATGAATATATATGGCTGTAGTTTTTTTTTTTTTTTTTGAGACAGAGCTTGCTTTGTTGCCCAGGCTAGAGTGAGTGCCGTGGCGTAAGCCTAGCTCACAGCAACCTCACACTCTGGGCTCAAGCAATCCTGCTTGCCTCAGCCTCCCAAGTAGCTGGACTACAGGCATGCACCCCATGCCCGGCTAATTTTTTCTATATAAAGTTATTAATATTAGTTGTCAACTAATTTCTTCTATTTATAGTAGAGATGGGGTCTCGCTCTTGCTCAGGCTGTTTCGAACTCCTGACCTCAAGCAATCCGCCCGCCTCGGCCCCCAGAGTGCTAGGATTACAGGCGTGAGCCACCGCGCCGGACCCATGGCTGTACAGTTTTAGGAGAATCTTCTACACCAAAACAGAACTCTAGGGTTAGAGTTTAACCCTTACTGAAATTGACTAAAGCCATTTTAAGAGAAATATACTCAAATTTGTATTTCATCCCAACCTCTCTGTAACATCTGTTTGTTTTTTGACTTTTTTTCAGAGATGGGGTCTTGCTCCATCGTCCACGCATAGAGTGCATGGCATGACTGTAGCTCACTGTAACCTCTAACTCTGGCCTCAAGCAATCCTCCTGCTCAGCCTCCTAGAGATGCTGAGACTGCAGGTGTGAGCCGCCATGCAACACCCTGCTTTTGATGTCAGGACAAAGCATCGGCCGGTTAAGGTTGAAGATAGCATTTGCTGATTTTCATCAGAAGGAACAAATAGCCCCTTTCTCTAAGTTTCAGCAGAAAGTGTGTGGATGGAATATATGCTTCACAATTAGAGCTTTTTGTAGCATAACTCGCCTTTTCTTCATACTCATTAGCAAAACTGCTCCAGGCCTCTCTGCTGATGGCTCCAGGGATTGACATGTGGCTGCCCTTCAGGAGCTGATTATCTAGTAGGGGAGACAGATACAACTAACCACACCCCTGTCTCCACTCACCGGACAGAACTCCCCCAGGGAGGACAGGTATCCAGAAAGATTTCTTCTGTGACTTCTGTGCTCCCAACATCGACTACAGAGTCTGGGGGCCCAAGCAATGTCCTCCCTAAAAGAGCCAACCCAAGAAAGTCATTAAATCACCATTCCAGTGAATTTTTTTGTGTGGCTTCCCATAGAAGGACCACAAATCTCTGTTCCAACAACTTCCTTTTTAACTTTCAGAGCACCCTGGCAGATAAAGAGTGTTCATTCCTGTTTGAATCAAGGCTGCAACAGCTAAAGCTTCTGGTCACTTCTTGTGCCACGTGCTGGTGGCATGGCTAAGAAGTCAGGTTCTTGCTCTGGTGGGGCTCTGGGAAGCTGACTCTCTTGCACATCTAACTCCTATGCCGCCACTCATTTAGTTGATTAAAAAGACAAAACCAGAATCTGAGTTTCTTTTGTCCCCACATCTGACACAGCAGGACAGACAATAGAAATGACTCATTCTTAACAGCCTAACTCTCCATGCCTATATTCATAAAGTATGCAGCAGTTTTTCTGGACACACTTGATATCCCTTGTAACAATGGAGAATGTGAAGCACCATGAGAAATCTGGCAGGCTGGCAGACATTCTATAATTCAATTTTTTTTTTTTTTTGAGACAGAGTCTCACTTGTTGCCCATGCTAGATGATGCCATGGCGTCACCCTAGCTCACAGCAACCTCAAACTCTTGGGCTCAAGCAATCCTACTGCCTCAGCCTCCAAGTAGCTGGACTACAGGCATCCGCCACATGCCCGGCTAATTTTATATATATAACATATATAATCTATTATTGGCCATTAATTTCTTCTATTTATACGTAGAGACAAGGTTTGCTCTTACTCAGGCTTGGTTTCGAACCCTGACTTGAGCAATCCGCCTGTCTCAGCCTCCCAGCATGCCTAGCTCATAGCGTAAGCCACCGCACCTGGCCTAATTCAATTCTTTTTGATCTGTGAGCCTAATCCAGTGATGTGACAGGGCAAGGGAGTTAACAGCCACTGAAGGGGCAACAGGGAACCCTCAGCCCCAGGGCTAACAGACTGCCACTGGAGACAAAAGGAGAGACTGAGGCTGAGCAGGGAAACCAGCCAATGGGGAAGCAACAGAGGCTAGTTCTGGGGAGGGAGAACACTGCAGAGCAGAGCTCCCTGGAAAGAGCATTGATTAATAGCTATTGAGCACCTGCTATGTGGTTGACATTGTGCTAGGTGCTGGGGAAAGCATGGTGAGCAAGTCAGAGAATAACTTTCTCAGAGTTGTAAGAAACTAAAGGATCACTATTCGATCTCCTATTATTCATTCTCACAGTAAACATGTATTCAGAACTTACTGTGTGCCATGTTTTATGCTAGGCACTGGGGGTATGCTGTGGACAAAACAGATGAGATTCTTGCCCTCATGGCAAATCTAGTAGGGAAGGCAGATAAAAAAATCCCATAAACCAGTGTATAATTACTAGCTGCAAAATAAGTAGTGCTAGAAAAATACAGGATTCCAACAGTCTGAGGGGACAGGGAGACTTGCCTGAGAAAGCGACACTGAGCTCAAATCTGAAGGAGGGAGAGGCATAAGCAAGCGAAGGGTCAGGAAGGTGTGCTGATGTCAGAGTACAGGTCTGAAGGTTTGTTCAAGGGGCGAGAAGAAAGCAGGGGTGGGGAGACTGGCCAGAGAGGGAGGCAGAGACCCAGTGGGATACGGCCTGGAGGCCATGCTGAGCTTTCTGGTTTTCATTCCTAAAGCACTGGGGAGAGTTCTGGATGAAGAGGGTGATCAGACTGATCTGAGTGCTCAGATTTTCACTTTGAAAAGATCACTTTGCCTCCTGCATGGAGAGCTGGCTGAGGAAGCACACACAAACACAGAGACCAGCAGGCTACTGCCGCGGTTCAGGCTGCAGTGAGGGTGGCCTGGACTAAGGTGAAAGCCCTGGAAACATGGAAGGGATGAAGAGAGAGAGACTAATTTAAGATACATTTACAAGGTAGAACTGATTGGGCTCAACGAAGAATTTGTTATAGGAGATGGGGTAGGGGCCAGTGAGAGGAAGAAATCAAGAATGACTTCCCATCTATGAGGTCAAATGAACAGCTGCTTGGTCTTTGCTTGAGCACCTACTGTGATAACCCTCAGACAGCTCCGATAGAGATTTTTTTGGAAAAGCCATAGGCTCAGGCTGGTTTCGAACTCCTGACCTCGAGCAATCCACCCGCCTCAGCCTCCCAGAGTGCTAGGATTACAGGCGTGAGCCACCGCGCCCAGCCCATGGCTGTACAGTTTTAGGAGAATCTTTCTATTCACAAAACCAGAACTCTAGGGTTAGAGTTTAACCCTTACTGAAATTGACTAAAGCCATTTTAAGAGAAAATATACTCAAATTTGTATTTCATCCCAACCTCTCTGTAAACTCTGTTTTGTTTGTTTGACTTTTTTCAAGAGATGGGGTCTTGCTCCATCGTCCACGATAGAGTGCAGTGGCATGACTGTAGCTCACTGTAACCTCTAACTCCTGGCCTCAAGCAATCCTCCTGCCTCAGCCTCTAGAGATGCTGAGACTGCAGGTGTGAGCCGCCATGCAAACCCTGCTTTTGATGTTCAGGACAAAGCACTCGGCCGGTAGAGGTTGAGAATAGCATTTGCTGATTTTCATCAGAAGGAACAAATAGCCCCTCTTTCCTCTAAGTTTCAGCAGAAAGTGTGTTGGATGGAATATATGCTTCACACAAGTTAGAGCTTTTTGTAGCATAACTGCCTTTTCTTCATACTCATTGAGCAAAAACTGCTCCAGGCCTTCTGCTGAGTGCTCCAGGGGATATGACATGGTGGCTGCCCTTCAGGAGCTGATTATCTAGTAGGGGAGACAGATACAACTAACCACCACCCCTGTCTCCACTCACCGGAACAGAGACTCCCCCAGGGAGGACAGGTACTCCAGAAAGATTTCTTCTGTGACTTCTGTGCTCCCCACATCGACTACAGAGTCTGGGGGCCCAAGCAATGTCCCTCCCTAAAAGAGCCAACCCAAAGAAAGTCATTAAATCACCATCTCCAGTGAATTTTTTTGTGTGGCTTCCCATAGAAGACCACAAATGCTCTGTTCCAACAACTTCCTTTTTAACTTTCAGAGCACCCTGGGCAGATAAAGAGTGTTATTTCCTGTTTGAATCAAGGCTGCAACAGCTTAAAGCTTCCTGGTCACTTCCTTGTGCCACGTGCTGGTGGCATGGCTAAGAAGTCAGGTTTCTTGCTCTGGTGGGGGCTCTGGGAAGCTGACTCTCTTGCACATCTAACTCCTTATGCCGCCCACTCATTTAGTTGATTAAAAAGACAGAAACCCAGAATCTGAAGTTTCCTTTTGTCCCCAACATGCCTGATCATGAGGACAGAACAGGACAACTAGAAATGACTCATTCTTAACAGCCTAACTCTCCATGCCTATATTCATAAAGTATGCAGGCAGTTTTTCTTGGGACACACTTGATATCCCTTGTAACAATGGGAGAATGTGAAGCACCATGAGAAATCTGGCAGGCTGGCAGACATTTCTATAATTCAATTTTTTTTTTTTTTTTTGAGACAGAGTCTCGCTTTGTTGCCCATGCTAGAGTGAGTGCCGTGGCGTCAGCCTAGCTCACAGCAACCTCAAACTCTTGGGCTCAAGCAATCCTACTGCCTCAGCCTCCCAAGTAGCTGGGACTACAGGCATCCGCCACCATGCCCGGCTAATTTTATATACATACATATATATCTATTAGTTGGTCAATTAATTTCTTTCTATTTATAGTAGAGACAAGGTCTTGCTCTTACTCAGGCTGGTTTCGAACACCTGACCTTGAGCAATCCGCCTGTCTCAGCCTCCCAGCGTGCTAGGATTATAGGCGTAAGCCACCGCACCTGGCCTAATTCAATTCTTTTTGATCTGTGAGCCTAATCCAGTGATGTGACAGGGCAAGGGAGTTAACAGCCACTGAAGGGGCAACAGGGAACCCTCAGCCCCAGGGCTAACAGACTGCCACTGGAGACAAAAGGAGAGACTGAGGCTGAGCAGGGAAACCAGCCAATGGGGAAGCAACAGAGGCTAGTTCTGGGGAGGGAGAACACTGCAGAGCAGAGCTCCCTGGAAAGAGCATTGATTAATAGCTATTGAGCACCTGCTATGTGGTTGACATTGTGCTAGGTGCTGGGGAAAGCATGGTGAGCAAGTCAGAGAATAACTTTCTCAGAGTTGTAAGAAACTAAAGGATCACTATTCGATCTCCTATTATTCATTCTCACAGTAAACATGTATTCAGAACTTACTGTGTGCCATGTTTTATGCTAGGCACTGGGGGTATGCTGTGGACAAAACAGATGAGATTCTTGCCCTCATGGCAAATCTAGTAGGGAAGGCAGATAAAAAAATCCCATAAACCAGTGTATAATTACTAGCTGCAAAATAAGTAGTGCTAGAAAAATACAGGATTCCAACAGTCTGAGGGGACAGGGAGACTTGCCTGAGAAAGCGACACTGAGCTCAAATCTGAAGGAGGGAGAGGCATAAGCAAGCGAAGGGTCAGGAAGGTGTGCTGATGTCAGAGTACAGGTCTGAAGGTTTGTTCAAGGGGCGAGAAGAAAGCAGGGGTGGGGAGACTGGCCAGAGAGGGAGGCAGAGACCCAGTGGGATACGGCCTGGAGGCCATGCTGAGCTTTCTGGTTTTCATTCCTAAAGCACTGGGGAGAGTTCTGGATGAAGAGGGTGATCAGACTGATCTGAGTGCTCAGATTTTCACTTTGAAAAGATCACTTTGCCTCCTGCATGGAGAGCTGGCTGAGGAAGCACACACAAACACAGAGACCAGCAGGCTACTGCCGCGGTTCAGGCTGCAGTGAGGGTGGCCTGGACTAAGGTGAAAGCCCTGGAAACATGGAAGGGATGAAGAGAGAGAGACTAATTTAAGATACATTTACAAGGTAGAACTGATTGGGCTCAACGAAGAATTTGTTATAGGAGATGGGGTAGGGGCCAGTGAGAGGAAGAAATCAAGAATGACTTCCCATCTATGAGGTCAAATGAACAGCTGCTTGGTCTTTGCTTGAGCACCTACTGTGATAACCCTCAGACAGCTCCGATAGAGATTTTTTTGGAAAAGCCATAGTTTTTTTAGAGTTGGAGTGCTGAGTTCTAGTCCTGGTGACAGTTATTGGCCATTTAACTCTGGGCAGCTCCCTTTGCCTCTCAGAGCCCTCGTCATTCAGTTTAATATCAGCTGAGTTCCTACCATGGGCCAGGCTGGTGGCGGGAAGACTAGGACACAGTCTCAGCTCACAAGGAGCTTAGACACCATTCCCTGTGGTGACTGAGAGAGAGCTCATTTCACTCTAACATGCTCAGTGTGAGACATGGGGACCCACAGGTGCCATGGGAACAGAGAGGAGGGCAACTGGCTGGGGTGTCTAGGAAAGGCCTTCTTGAGCACAGTCTTCAGGCAGCTGTGAGGAACTATGTCACAGGCCCCCACGCATGTGGCTAGAAGCCGGACGTACGTACACATTAGAAGCAAAGCCCCTGGTCTACTGCAGGACAGGGTGTGGGGAAAGACACTCACCGGGGGACAGCTGGAGATACCGCCACTGCCGAAGAAGAACTCATCCTTGTGCACAACTATGGAGGTGTGCCTGTCACACGGAGAGACACAATGAGCCAGAAGACTTAAAACTTATCTTAGAAAAAGTAAATACCACACTGAAATGAGAATAATTTCTGCCCAAGGATATGACTGTGGTGATCAGCCTTACAAAACTAACAAAACAAAGGTATGAGTACAACAAACACTACAGATAAGAGGTTCTCTATCTTGGCACTACTGACGTATGGGGCTTCATTGTTCTTTGTTGTAGGGGGCTGTGCCGTGCCTCTAATTACTCAATGCCAGTAGCACCCTCCCCCCAGTTGTGACAACCAAAAATGTCTCCAGACACTGCCAAATGCCCCAGGATGGGAGGGCAAAATAACCCCTGGTGGAGAACCACTGCTTCAGGACTTGAAGATTTATGGCACAGATGGGTGGGTTTCAAGCTGGAAGCAACAGACTGGAACCCGAATGCATAGGGTGCTGCTTTGTTTCACAAACCAGTTAATGTCAGGAGTCCCACACAACTTACCAGATGCCTTCCAGTTGTTTCCCTGTGGAGAAAAGAAGAGATTTAGCCAGTTGGGAGTAGACTTAGTGGCCCCTCAGCCTGAGTAAATTCAGAACATCACTCAAATATTCAGAATATATAAATTCAGAATATCACCCAGGATAACCGGTTATAAATCTCTTGGGGGGCTTTCTAGGAATGCAATTCTCCTCCAATCAGGTCCTTAGGTCATGATAAGAGTGTGTTGTATTGAGTGAGTTGAAAAGTACTCAGAATCCTTTATCAAAATGCAAGATCAAAACCACTGGCCTAAAGGTACCCCAATTTTAAGACTGCTCTTTCCCTTTGGGGTCAATTCAACTTTGCCTTTTTAATTTCTCTATCTCATCTATAGAAGGCTATGGTAAAACACTAAATGTCACCTACTTCTTCACTGAGGCAAAATCCTTCAGAAAATGATAGAACAAAACTTTGCAAATGTCATCCATTTAAACAGTCAATGCACATTTATTCTATACCTCTATATGCCAGAAATGATGTTGGGTGTGGAAATGCAAATAAGAACAGATCACTGTCCTGCTTTTAAAGAGCTCAAAATCAAATGGAAAGGTACACAAATAATTAACTAAAACACAATGTTGATAAGTTCTGTAATGGTGGTAAAAATGAGGTGCTCTATGTAATGAAGAACTACCTTCGTGAGCTTCTATTCAACCAATGACGGGTGGGGGCAGGGATGGACATTTCTGCCAGAGAGAACAGGATATGCAAATGCACAGCTGTGAAAAGACGATGTCCTATGGGGCAGAGTGAAGGGTGCAGCGATGGTGACAGAGAAAGAGCAGCTGGCAGGCATGGACTGAGAGGCTGTTAGGCTGGAGAATGCCTTGATCAGATCCACATTTGTACAAGATAACTATAGCCGTGGTCTAGCAGATGAATTGGAGAGAAGAGAGTCGAGAGAGCAGGCTGGAGGGAGGAGGTCATTGCAACGGTTCACAGGAGACACTATATAGCAGTGCTGGGAAGGCAGAGGAAGGGCAGTGAGAGATGCATCACTCATCGTTTCACATCACTGATTTACTGACTAGTAACTACTGCTTTTGCTGTTTGCCCTGAGACTTTCTAAAGGATGAAACCATCAGCACTGTGTGGAAGGAGAGGTGGAGGATAGAACTTCTCCTTTGGGGTGTGTTACACCATTTCCTCTCCTAGGTAAATTATAGGATTTCAAATAAATAGCTTGCCCTTTAAGAAGCCTTTTAAATGATATGACATCAACCTAATTTTCTTCTTTGGAAGAGACAGAAGGAGCCATGGCCCTTCCATGACAACCTACTGATAGCTCAGCATGGCGTTCTTAGAGGGGGTTAAGAGTATGAGACAGCTTTTCCACTTGCTAGTGCTGGGTCTTGGGTGAGCTTACCCCACCCCGCTAAGCCTCAGTTTTCAACGTAGAGTTCTCGACCAGTAATGATAATATATAGAAAGCATCATAGTATGTAGTATGCAGAAATTTGATACATGGAGGCTACTATTAAGTATAATGACCTCCTTGGGGAAAAAGGGTAAAGACTTCCAAAAGATAAAATAAATTCTGCTCAGGATTGGTGGGTAAGATCTAAGAACAGATTTCAGCATCCAGCAGGTTAATATGAAATGCTGTATCTGTTTTATATATAAACATTTCATTCTTTGCTGTTAGTGTTGCCAGGCTAAATGGAGTAACAAAGGGAAATGAAATGTAGCAGAATTCTTCGGCTTCTCTTCCACGGCAGAGGTGAGTCTGCTTTTAGAGATCTGCTGCTCTGGCCCACAAGACCACAAATGGATGGAGGGATTCTGGCCTGGCGTTTCTGGGGTAGCTCCTAGAGCATGTGGGGCACGCTCTACCCTTATCCAAACTTGGCTGAAATTTCAGAGGTTGATCAAAACTAGACAGGAACCCTAGGGGACTAATTATCCATTTAGGACAAGCATCTTCAAATGGTGGGCTCTACTAGGCTATAAAATAAACTGAATTGGATTCTTTTTTTTTTGAGACAGAGTCTCGCTTTGTTGTCCAGGCTACAGCGAGTGCTGTGGCATCAGCCTAGCTCACAGCAACCTCAAACTCCTGGGCTTACAAGATCCTATTGCCTCAGCCTCCCGAGTAGCTGGGCCTACAGGCATGCGCCACCATGCCCGGCTAATTTTTTCTATATGTATTAGTTGGCCAATTAATTTCTTTCTATTTATAGTAGAGACAGTGTCTCGCTCTTGCTTAGGCTGGTTTCAAACTCCTGACCTCGATCAATCCGCCTGCCTCGGCCTCTTAGAGTGCTAGAATTACAGGCGTGAGCTACTGCACCTGGCCTTAACATTGTAAATAAGGCTGATCTGCTCTTCTGGACAGCTATTGTCTAAATGGCAGCAAGTTGTTTATTTCCTTGAAGACATGTAGTGATTCAGTGAAACTAGACAGATTATGAATACTTACTTTCTTTTGCCTGTTCCTTTCAAATGAAGCTTTTCTCATTCACTTTGGGAGGAACACTTCACTCACAATGAGGAAGTATAGTATAGTCAATAAGAACATGGGTTCTGGTGTAGACAGTATGGGTCTGAATCCTACTAGTTTATTTATATAAAAGAATATTTTAATTCTTGTCCTTAGAAACTATAAAGACTATACAAGATTTAGGCTGGGCGTAAGCAGCTCACACCTATAATCCTAGCACTTTGGGAGGCAAAGGAAAGAGGGTTGCTTGAGGCCAGGAATTCGAGACCAACCTGGGCAGCATAGCAAGACTCTGTCTCTATGAGAAAAACAAAATTTAGCTAGGCATGGTGGCGCATGCCTGTAGTCCCATCTCCTTGACAGGCTGAGGTGGGAAGATTGCTTGAGCCCAGGAATTAGAAGCTTCAGTGAGCTATGATTGTGCCCCTGCACTCCAGCCTAGATGACAGAGTGAGATCCTGTCTCTATTAACCCCCCCCCCCAAAAAAAAAAACAGACTATACATGCCTTGGTGATTTGGAAATGAGGCTGTGAGACTCTACTAAACAATGGCCAAAGAAGAATCATCCATTCTACACTTCTTTTTTGCCTGGTCCCTCAGAAATATAACGTTACCAGCTATTATTGGTTTTGTTTGTTGCCTCATGTTATTTTCATCCATGTATTCACCATAGTCTACTTTCCCTTCCACAGAAATTTGAGACCCTTTTTCACATGCTCATATGCTACATCTCTGTGGCCTGACTGGAATACATTCTGTGCCATGTTGTCTTTTGACTGACGTTACCCATTTGATATACTTCTCTGTCCCCTGAATGCCACATTTGTTGCTAGAGAAAATATTGGGACTGGAATTTTTTCCTTCCACCTGTCTCATGATGGGGTCCCTGACCCACTCGCCCAAGTAACTGCACATGATTCAGGGATCTTTCAAGAATGAAACTGCTAGCTATGTTGGACTCATGTCTTACAAACTGATGAAGTACCTGTAATACAGGTCTTCAAAACACTGCTTCTATTTTCTTTTTTCATGATCTATTGTTTAGATTCTTCCTGATGCTCTAACGCATAGCCTGCTGTACTCATTAAATCAGTGAGCTAATTTTTTTTTTTTTTTTGAGACAGAGTCTCACTTTGTTGCCCAGGCTAGAGTGAGTGCTGTGGCATCAGCTTAGCTCACAGCAACCTCAAACTCCTGGGCTCAAGCGATCCTACTGCCTCAGCCTCCTAAGTAGCTGAGACTACAGGCATGCGCCACTATGCCCGGCTAATTTTTTGTATATATATTTTTAGTTGGTTGATTAATTTCTATTTTTGGTAGAGACGGGGTCTCGCTCAGGCTGGTTTTGAACTCCTGACCTTGAGCAATCCGCCCGCCTCGGCCTCCCAAGAGCTAGGATTACAGGCGTGAGCCACAGCGCCTGGCCTCCAAGTCTTTAAACTGAGAACAGTTTTGAAATGAGCTTGTAAAAAAAAATAAATATGATGCATGCCCACAAAACTTAAGATCAGAAAATAATAAATAAATTGTACCTTTTACCAAAATTAAAAAAACTCACACACCTCTGCATTTACTTCTATGTACTTTGGCACAAAAAGAGGTCAAGAAATTTAAGGAGCAGCCAAAATTATCAAGAGGAGGAACTGAAGGACAATTATAATAACTAATTATCTTGGGCAAATGGTGACTATGGGGAAAAAAAGGTGCAATTAGGCTGTTTGCTCAATTAGAATGCTAAAGATAATTTTGGGAGATTTTCATGGTGAGTGAAGAATTGTAGAACAGGAACACCTTCATGAGAGGCAATTCTAGGAGACTGAAAACACAATATGGTAAAACCATGGAGTCTACATCATTTTGGGGGTAAGGGGAATTATCTTGGGCTTTATCTAGTCCAACCCTGAACTGCAACAGAACTAGATGAGGCCTCACAATGGAGAACTGACATAATGGAAGCACGAGAGGGTATTGCTAATGAAGACAAACAAATTTAGTTTGGGAAAATGAAAGCCAAGAGGGTGATCATAAATCTGGAAGATTATGAAGGGCACACGTACATTGCTTTTGGTATTTTTTTGGTATTTTTTTTTGAGACAGAGTCTCGCTTTGTTGCCCAGGCTAGAGTGAGTGCTGTGGCATCAGCCTAGCTCACAGCAACCTCACACTCCTGGGCTCAAGCAATCCTGCTGCCTCAGCCTCCCAAGTAGCTAGGACTACAGGCATGCGCCACCATGCTCAGCATTTTTCTATATATATTAGTTGTCCAATTAATGTCTTTCTATTTATAGTAGAGATGGGGTCTCGCTCTTGCTTAGGCTGGTTTCAAACTCCTGACCTCGATCAATCCGCCTGCCTCGGCCTCTTAGAGTGCTAGAATTACAGGCGTGAGCTACTGCACCTGGCCTTAACATTGTAAATAAGGCTGATCTGCTCTTCTGGACAGCTATTGTCTAAATGGCAGCAAGTTGTTTATTTCCTTGAAGACATGTAGTGATTCAGTGAAACTAGACAGATTATGAATACTTACTTTCTTTTGCCTGTT